GTTATAATAAGAGCATGTAACATATAATAAGAAAAAATGTTTGATTGAAAAGAAATGTTATTTATGATTGTGAATTTTGTTTTTATATATTGCACATAAAATTTTTTTATATATTATTAATACATTTTATATATTTTAAGAAAAAATTATTATTATAAATAATTATTTTATGTGAGTATTTGAGGATATTAATTTTTTAGGAGTAAAATGATCTTTTAATGAGCCTTTTAATGGAGTTAACTGACAGAAGGATTTTAGTGTCCTATTAATTACAAAGTTTTAGGGCGAGATGTCTATTTTTTAAACTAATGGTCCTGAATTAAATTATACTTAAAATTGAAGGACTTAAATGTATTTTGCTCAATATAATTTTATATATATACTTGGATAAGATGAACACTCTAAACTCTTTTTCAACTTGACCTCGATTTTAGAAAAAAAAAACCTTGATCTTGTTTCAAAAATTTTAAAAAGTCTCACATATTGAATCAATCAAATCAAAAATGATGGGATATGAGTTGTTTTATTATACCGACATTCATTGTCTTTTTTACAACAAAATTTATTTAATAAAAAGTAAAAATCTAAAATAAATGGCTAAAAAAAAGGAAGTCAAAGTGAATGTCACGTGGATTTGTTAAATTAAGATATTAAATAATAATTTTATTAATATAATACATATATATAATTAAAATAAATAATAATATATATTTATATATGTTTAGATGAGGCGACACACCTTAAACTCATATATGGTATGACCTTGAATTTTGAAAAAAAAAACCTCCCATCCTGAACTTAAAAAATGGACCTATTGGAGAGAAACACATTAAAACCCATTGAATACAAACCTTACACATAAAAAAAGAATGAAACAAAGAAAAATATACATTTTAATCAATAATATCAAATGGATCCTGTACATAAAAATTTAAAAATATAAAAATTATTGATTAAATATTGAAAAAAAATTAAATAGGAAAAATGAAAGAAAGAAAAAAAATGCATCGGAGTATCACATGCAGCCCATAAAATATCCGTACATATGATGATAAACCTTTGGTGTCTAGTATGTCATACAAAAATATTTATTAAATATATAAGAAAAAAAAAAAAAAAAAAGCAAACATGTAACATGGCCTTGGTATCAAGTGGGTCTCATACAAAAAAAATTTTAAAATTTATTTATAAAAAAAATTAAAAAAGAAGAAAAAAGTAAAAAGCAAAATAAAAAGAAGGATAGGGGAAAAATGGGTCTACCTTAAAAAAATAAATTAAAAATTTTTTATAAAAATAAAAAATATTGAAACAAAATTTATTAAATTAATATATTAAATTATAACTATATATATATATATATTATTCATATATCTAAGTGATGAGTTTTTTTTTTTTGTAAAATTTATATTATGGATTAAAAATAAAAAAATAAGGAAAAAATAAATGACAAAAAAATCAAATTTGGATGTGACATCATACCTCCGTAATATCTTTTTCTTTAAAAGTTATTAAATGAAAAAAAATAATTTTCTAATCAATAATATCAAATGGATGCAACATTTTAAAAAATATAAAAAAAACTTATTAGATATTAGAAATAGAAAAAAAGAAAAATTGAATAGAAAAAATTAAAAAAAAAGAAAAAGAGAAAAAAAAAGCAAATGACTTATACATATGGCATACTTTTGTTATCCAGTGGATTAGACAAAAAAAAAATTAAAATCTCAAAAAATTTTGTTAAAAATATAGAAAAAAAATAAAAAAATAAAAAGCAAACATGTGACATACCTTTGGTATTAAATAGATCATACATAAAAAAAATTAAAAGGAAAAATAAAAAGTAAAGAAAAAAAACAAATGACTTGACATGTAACATATCTTTGTATAAAGTGAGTGAGATAAAAGAAATTAAAAAAATTAAAAAAAATTTATTAAATATATAAAAAAATTGTAAACATGACACCACACTCTCGATATCAAGTGATCCTACCAAAAAATAAAATTTGAAAAAATATTTATCAATTTTTTAAAAGAAAAAAATGATAAAAAAGAAAAAATTTGTATAAAGTGGGTCTCATATTAAAATTTTAAATCATTAAAAAAATATTTATTAAATATAAAATTTTTTTGAGGAAAACATTAAAAAGCAACAAAAAATTAAAATCTTAATTAATTTTTTAAAAAGAGAAAAGATAAAAAATAAAAAATTTTGGTATAAAGTAAATCCCACCTAAAAAATTGAATTATTTTAAAAAATATTTATTAAATGTTTCAAAAATATATATGTATATATTTATATATATCACGTGGTGCAATAAGAGAAATCTCCTATCCATTGCACAGGAGAAAATTTTATATTATGGATTTTGAGTCGATTTTATTTTTATGAGATAAATTTAATCAATAGCTGATATATTTAACATTAATAATCATTTGACCTAAATTAGAAGCATATATTTTCTGTTTAAATAATTAAAGCTTAAATTCCTTCATTAAATAAATAATGTACTAAATTCATTTTATATTGACATTATAAAGTTCATTTTATAATTGACATTATAAAATTTTTTTTATATATTGACGTTTCGTTATATTGATAGTGATAATCATAATTGTCATTTTATAATTAAATTTTTAAAAAATCATTAATAAAATTGACACTCATAGCATGATGAAAATTTATTTCAAAGACTTTTTTTTTTTTCTTGTTTCATAATGCTTCAATCATTTTGAGCCGAATAGATAAACTAACTAGAATAACAGAAATTAATAGTAAAAATTAATTGTTCCTTTTTGTCTCCATGATCAACCATTAATGTTTTTATAAATGAAGAGGTTACTTTCAAAGCATTTCAGCTTTTTAATTCTCCTATCTTTTACCGACTTCTCATAAATGGCAAACCCATATATTTTGACTTGTTATCAGATCATGTCATGGCTTTCCCATCTAACCTTGCCAATAAGCAACCCTGCAGGGGTTTTCATGGCGTTTGCACTTTCTCCTATATATGGGTTCATTTCTCGATGATTTCATCAATATATTTATGAATGGTGATGATATATATATATACACATACGAGGAGTAATTAACTTACATTAGTAGTGTAAAATTTTTTAATTTTATATATTTTTTAAATAATTGATTTCAATAAATATAAAAAATGAGAAACACGAATCAAAAAAAGACTTGAAATTAATGATTAAAAAAATGTAAAACTAAAAAACTTTATAATGATATAAGTTTGAGATTTTTTATGTATATTTTTGCAAGGAAAATAATGAGTTATAACAAACTAGATCGCGAAAGATTATTATTATTATTATTTATTGTGAATTAGCTGACAAACTTTAGGAAAAATTTACTATAACTTAATTTTTCAAATTATAGCAATATGAGATTTTGGGTCTTTTTTTTTTTTTTTTTTTGGTTATATTTAAAATTAAATCCTTTTAAAACAAGTAATACTTCATTGTAACCCTATTAAAAAGTTACTTAAAAGGGTGACTTTATCCTATTTATAATTTATTAAATCCAACATTTTCATCTTCAAGATTAGAATAGGCAATCTTCAAATTGGAAATATTGAATTTTAGCAGTTAAGATATTTCTTTAAAAGATGAAAATATTATATATATATATATATATATATATATATTACAAGAATTGAATCCTAATAATTTTTTAAAATAAACATTATCTTTTGTAAGTCATACTCAAAGAAATCTTATCTTTTTTTTTTGTATTTTAAATGATCAAAAATTGAATTTTGATTACTTAAATTAAAAATTCAACACTAATGTTATATTTCATAATACAACTAAACTACACTAACTTTTTTAAACAGAGTGTTCTCATCATTTTCCTTTTACATGAACAATCTTAATTCTTAAACCTTAGTTGCTTTGATAAAGACATAAGTAACAAGTATATATAAAAGTATGCCAGTCGCTCCAATTTTGAGTGATACACACACGCGCGCGCGAGGATTCACTTATATTAGTGTAAATGTTACATTTTTTTAATTTAGTAGATTAAAATAATTAAATGTAAGTGTTATAAATTTAATTTTGATCCAAAAATAATAAAAAAAGTGTGATATGCTTATACCAATGTAACTGAATTCCTACTCATATATATATATATATATATATATATATATATTCAAGGCATGGATTATCAATGTTAGACAGAGAAAAGCAATGACAATCAATGATGGTGTGTATAAATATTATATATTATTAATAAATTATATAATAACATTTCATAAAAATTAATTTTAAAATTTTAAAAAGAAAATATTTTTAATCCTAAAATTATATTTAAAATTATTTTTATGAAATTGTATGATTTATTGATAGGGTATAATACATGTACACTATAAATGCTTATTATTATTATTATTATTATTAATGTAATTCACATGCTCATTGCTTCCTCACCAAAGATAGAATCTATGAGCCAAACCATGATTGGTTCTAAAATATTAGAAACAATAATTTTAAAGCCAAATCTGTCAACAGTTTCTCCTAGAGGATAATTTATATATATTAATTAACCTAAGATCAAACAAACATGAAATATACTTTTATCACATGAGATCAATTTACAGATATAGATTAATAATAAGAATTTGGCATCTAATTCAATTAATTTATATAATTATTTTTAAAAGTTAATATTCATCAAGTTTAAAATTTCTCTACATTCATAATCTTTTTCTTTATCTGTATCGCAATAATTTTACTAAAAAAAAAAAAAAACATAACAACCATTTTTATGTCGTACCTTTATCCGCATTAAATGAATACCCTTCTCCACCTTAATGAATCTTTCATCTTTCTTATCAGCTTAGCCCAAGTTTATTGACTGTATGTAAATATGGCGGTAGTTCTCACTTCTCATCTTGTTTTTCTACTTTGTAGTAAAAAAATGATATTATTAGCAGTCTTAGTTGGATGATTGATTAGTTGAGATTTGGGCTACAGCTACAAATATGCTGATAATTGCAGTATTAAATAGTGAAATCAAAGTGAAACAAAAAAATAAAAATAAAAAAGGAATTTTTTCTACTAAACCAAAAGCTGAAAACTGTACTCCCAAGATCAAAGCAGATCCCTACATTTTTAATTGTAGGTTCCAAGAAGCTCTGCATCAAACCCCAAAAACCCAATGCTGACTTTAGATCTCTGAGGTAAACGATTTTATTGATATCAACTGCACAAAAATGAAAGAAAGTAATGAGGAAATGCTTACAAGACTTGGAATTTTGTCAGTACTTGACATGATCTATATCATTAACAAAAGCCAAAACAAAGAATATGGTAGTATTTTTCTTTTTTTATCTATCGTGGCAGTATTACAATAAATGGAAAAAAATAGTGGATATAGGTCAATTAATGGATATATAGCGGTACTGAGAAGCAACCTCTTTTTCACTGACGACAACACCACCTAAACAAGATTAAACTTTTCAATTTTTTGACAAAAAACAAACCCATTATCTTACAAGGAAAGATGATGCAGAAAGCTGACTGGAACTTCATTTCATCCAATGTCAATGCACTTCTTTCAAAAACACTACCACTTCTACGACATTACAAGGGGCTAGAATCATTTTTTTCATAGAAGAAAATTGAAAATTAGTGTCCTTTTTTAGGTAAAAGGAAACTATCTAATAAGGGTACTGTTTCTTCAAAGAGGATGTGAAGCAAATCTCAGAGGAGTGGTCAAGATCATGGATTTGATCTACCACACCAAATTCCCACACAACCCACTCTCTCTATCTAACTCCTTTTTGTCTCACGCTTACTACAATATCTAGTGCTGTAACTTACCCTTTGTTTTTGTTCAAAACAAGTTAATCAAGCCAAAAAGAGAAAGGATAACTGTTCATTGGTTTGATCATTTTCGTGGCAAAATAATTTCCCAACAAAATTTTCTTCATCAAATAATTGCAGAAATTATGGAAATAGATTAGGAAGAATCAAATCAATCTAAGGCTGCTACTTCTCATTGATGCCACTTATACCTGATGTATGGAATATCCCTAAACTGTGAAAAGACAATAATTCTCTACCCACCCTTCTGCCTTATGCAATTAAGAGTAATTCTAGTTTTCTACTGGCACCAAATGATATTTCCCCATTTATGAAAAACCCCAACATACATTGCAGTATTGCACACAAAACTATCAAACACCCTTCAAAAAAGCAAAGCATATACCGTAAGTTAATGAACCAGGAAAAGTTGAAATACGTTACCTAGAATGAAAGATTGCTTTCATGAAAGCGGAAAGGCAGGCATTCAGGCTGCAAACAGAAAAAACAAGGGAAAAAAAAAGAGGTTTTTTTTTTTTTTTTTAATTCAACAAGGACCAATACTCCTACCCTCCTCGCTTCCTGACCTTTGCTGTTGCTGCTGCTGATTTTGCTGCGATTGTTGCTGTTGATTTTGCTGTGGTTGCCCTTGTTGTGGCTGAAGCAAAAGCTGTGCTTGAAGTGGATGACCCCCATGAGAATGATGATGAGGATGATCTTCTTGTTGTGTCTGAATCTGATAAGGGTTATCAAAACTTCCTAAAGCCAATGAAGATGACATGGTAGCTGCAGTTGTTATCTGATTAAACCCAGTTCCAGTAACTGAAGCAGCCCCTTCAAATCCACCATTAAACCTTACAATCTCTTGCTGTTGTTGACCCTGATGATGTTGTTCATAACCTCTGAACATTTCTTGTTGTTCCCTTGCTGCTACCACCGCAGCCAGTTGTTGTTGAGCCTCAAAAATCTGTTGTTGTTGTGGTTCCCTTATCACCAACTGCCCCCCATGTGAAGCCGAAGCCGCCGCAGCAGCTGTAGGAATCCCCATCATTGGCATCATGTTATGTTGCATCACTGCTGAGGAAGCGTTCCCAACATGTTGTTGCAAAAAAACAGGCGGTTGTAAAATAGGAAGCATAGCTTGTGGACCAATATAAGTAGCCAGTTCTTTCTTGGCATTGCTAAGATCATGTTGCACTTGTTTAAGCCTGTGTTGTAATATGGAGATCAGGCCAACACAGCCATAGACAGGGTCTCGGAGACGAGCCTCAGCTTCATAGGCTAAAGAGTTGACAGCATCTTCACGTTGGGAAGCGTTGAGTTCGTTTAAAAGTTTGGCTACATTACTGGCACCGAATACTTTGTGAACGTTGGCGAATTTTTGGGGATTGTCTGGTGGGAAATAAGGTGCAAAGACGCATTCTTGGGTGCATTTTCGACGAAGAAACTTGCACGCCGCGCAAGGAGAGTTTGACGATGACATCTCTTCTTTTTGTCTTCTAATTAAACTGAAATGAAATGAACCCAGATCATCAATATTCATGAAATTTGCAAGATCTTAAAAAAAAAAAAAACAGAAAGAGAAAACAAAAGAACAAAAAAAAAAAAGAAGAGATCTAGTAAGAGAAAAAAGAGAGAGAAACGGGATTTGATATAAAAGTATTAAAAGTGCATTGGAATGAGAAATCACAAAGAAAAATGCATGTTAGATTCAAGGAAGCTTCTTCATTTCCTTCATCAAAGGGAAAAAGAAAAGGAAAAGCTCTCTTTTATCAAGAAGAAGAACAGTTAAGGCAAAAAAAAAAGAAAAGATTTTGATGCCCAAAAAGCTCCCTTTTTTGATGATTGAAAACCTTACCTTTGGCTGAAACTGCCTGAAGAAAATGTTAAAAAGAAAGTTGGCTAACAAATTCCTTTCAAAGATCGATCCCTTCCAAAACTTAAAGATCAAAACCTTAAACGACAAACAAATCATGTTGTCATCTTTGGGAAATCTTCTTCTCTCTAATAAAACTTTTTTTCTTTCCCTTCGTTTTAATTGTCTTTCTCTCACTGTATCATGGAAAATCAAACAGATCAAAAACAGATGGTCAAAGAAAACTTTAACCTAACCCTAAAGACTAGGGAAAACAGAATCATTTTAAAATCCAAATCTGAGGTTTTTATTTTTGGGATGTTAAAAACTAAAAATTGGATATAAATAAATAAGAATAAATTTATTATTGTCTCCTACTTTGAGCGAAAATTAAATGCGTCTGAGTTACGTCTTTGTCCCTACGTTGTCAGCTCATATTGCCCAAATTGCCCTTTACTTTTTTTTTTCAGTCAGATTTTTTAAGATTTATTTGTTTTATACTTATCAATTAATTATGAAAGGGGGAAATAATTGGCGAAGGCGATTTTGATTTAATTCTACGAATCAATCTTGATTGATGAATATTAAATTATTACATAAAATTCAACGGCTGGTAATTAATAATGAAAAAATTAAAATTTAACACATGACTTAATTATTATGTTAAAGCAATTATCTTTAAAAGGTAAATAAAATTTAAATTTTTATAATTTTTTTATTATCATATTAAAATTTTTTAATTTTAATTTTTAATTTTTATAAATTGTGTATCGGAGGGTGGTTAAATAAGTACGTCCGTGTTAGCATGCGCGTCCACTCGGTGTGAGCATCTACGGTCCTTTCTCTCCCATTTCACCATCTTCTAATTGACAGTTGTCTCCCTCGGAAGAAAAGAAAGGATATTCTCGTAATTTCACGTTCCTTTTCATTAATACTTTCCTTTGTTTTTTCTATTTCTTCCTTCCTTCTTTTTCAACCTTCCTTTTGCATCAAGAGAAAAAAAACCTCCAATGCACGAGTCACGATAGGAAAAGAAATGACCTTCTATTCCCGGTGAAGGGGCGTACGAAGCACTCAATCTTTTTGCTTTTGCTGTCGCTGAGGTGGGGGAGTGGCTGTGCAAATGTGCAAAATCATCAGAGCACAGTCGTTTTGATTGATTGACCCCCTCCGCCCCTTTTTTTTTTTAATCGTAGTATTTCTTAGGTTTTCACATTCATTATCGAAGTGACTAAACCTCCAGCCTTCCCTCCATCATTTCACTGATGGCTGCTTCCTCAACCCCAACTGTCCAGTCAACTCCCCCTCTCCTCTGCTCTCTGAGACCGTTACACCGGAAAACCTTCAAAGTCACTACGATAATCGTACGCAATAGAACATTGATTTTTTTTTTAATTCAAATTTTGTTTTTCTTGCATATTATGGAGGATTAGTTCAAACGTTACATTCACATATATACATGCTTACGTATTATATATGTTTTGCTGATGGATGGAATATATATATGTTTTTCTTTCATGAAAATGCTAAGTAGTGTTAGATCTTCATTAAAATGATATTCAAATTAGAATATTTTTAATGATAGAAATAGTAAATTAAATGATATTCAAATTAAAAGGTTTCGTAATCTACAATAATTATAAAATTGAATTAATTATCTTCATGTGATTGTTTGTTTTATATGTAATATAGTATTTAATTAGTTGCTTAATAACGACATATTTATGACCTCGAGGCTTAAAAATTTAATAAAACTAGGAAGCGATGCAATGCAAAGTAAACATGTGATGTGACCGACCGTGGTACTATAGATTTATGTGTGCATACTTTGCTACTTGGCTTTATATGCATATATATATATATATATATATATATTTGAAGAAGTTATGGTGTTATGAATTTTCCCCCAATTTTTATTGGAAAATTTTCATTAGTACTACTAGTTAGATACCTAAAGGTTCATATTCCTTCAATACATTGCATATGTGTTTCTTTTATAAATGGGATCACAATTTAAAGATAAAGAAAAAGATTATAGATATTAAAATTTTAATTTTTTAAATTTATTGAATGTCATTATTTAAAAATTATTACGTGAATCAGTTCAAATGAATCAATTTGGATATGTCTAACTGTTATATATATATATATATATATTTAATTAGGATTGTATATGAATTTGATAAAAATTAATATTTAATGTATTGGAAGTTTTAATATAAATTTAATATAATAATTTTTATGGTTTACATGGGATTAATATAAAATAAATACGAAAGAAGGTAAAACCTGGATTGGAACACATGGTAGGCGAGGGAGTAATTGGAAACAGCTACATAGTTTTAATCCCTTTCCTTTAATGGGACGGTAACGAACGTCAGCCAAAAGGGAAAGTATCGTCAAAGCGGAAAAGGTAAAACGTCGAAGAAATTAAGAGTGGAACCCACGAAATGGGACTCAAGGATGGGGGACAAAATGGAAAGAATGAGAAAAAGAAAGAAAGAGAGAGACAGGGAGTGGTTCGATGGATAGTAGTGAGTGAGTGAGCACTGAGCAGCAGTGGTCTGGCGCCTGGATTCAGCTGCTGATGCTGATGCTGGGAGGGATGCTGTTGCATGCAACCACTGACTCCACCCAGAGTGCCATGCAGAGAGGTCCAGTGTGTTGGTGAGCAATTGCGTGCAGAGGGATTCATTCCATTTATTGTAAATACGCTTTATCTTTCTCTCTCTGGTACAGATTTTGATGCGCACTGATTTTTTTTTTATTGCCTCTACTGTTTTCATAGTATTACTATTACCATTCCATTCCATTCTTTCTTTCAGTCTAATTAATTGGCAGTTGTTTGGCCTTTCATTTTCACCTTTGCTTCTATTTTGGCTACTTTCTCTTTCTCTTTTAAGTCTTGGATTATTGGTAAATGGCAATGCCCTTTCACATCAATATGGGGCAATTTCATTGTTTTTTTGACAAGTGTGAAAATTTTTGTTCATTCTCGCTACTTAAATAAATAATTGTAATAGATATTGCCTGAAATGAAAGTCAAACACAATCTGCTTAACACATTGGATTATTTCGTTTCATTCAATTAAAGAAATCTCCACATTGAGCAACGCAAACAAAATTAATTATTCTCAACAATCCCAAAAGCCTGAATTATGCATTCATATATACTTGGTATTCATCAAAAGGGCACCTGATGAGAGTTAGGATAATGACTTGTTTTAGGGCCAGGCAGCAGGGTGAGCTACTAAGCTGTGCCACCCTGTATCTGCATGCAAATCAACCCTTTGGTCTCTATATATCTTTTCTACTACATTATTTTATTCAGGTTTTAGTTCCCCTACTACCTTTTGCTCTCTTCAATTTCCTTTTCTCCTATGTTGACTTCTCAATGGGCTGGTAGGAAGCTCATCACGTGCATGGATTTGACATAGAATGCCCAAACATAACTATTTTAATTAATACTTTGACATAAATATTCTGATTCAACCACTCAATCTGTTTGCTATTGTTAAATGCTTCCCCTCCACTCATCATTATGTCTTTTGAATTCTCTACTGGAATTCACTCTCTTCCTAGACAAACGGTTTGAATCTGTAGTTAACTATAGAGATAAATGGTCTCACACGAAATCCGGGTTTAACTCATATAATTATATTTTAAAATAAAATAACATTTAATAAATTTAAAATTCAAATTTCAATATTTATAATTTTTTTTAATTATTAGATTGTTATGTTTTTTGTATAAAAAATTATATCATGGAAGCAATTAAGGTAAGATAAATAATAATAAATCAGAAATGATTTCTTTTCAAAAGCATTCATCAAAGTCAGTGGATTTATAAGATTTGTTGAATAGGTATAATTATATATATAACAAAACCCTTGTTAGAAAAAAGGGTGGATTTTTTTTCTTTGTGAACAGATAGAGTTAATGCTAGAAAAGCAGATGTTGGTGTTTTGAACAGGCAACCGCGTGCGTAGAAAAACACTCAAAGAAGACAAAAGGATGTTTTCTAACCACCACGACACGCCAACACCTTTGGTATTCTGTTCGATTATTGTTAGGTTAAAGATTTGATGGTGGCTTCGAGCATTCTTTCAAATACATGCTTCACTGTCTTAAATTCTTAAGAGGACAAGTGATGATTTCGTGTAAAAATGACACATGTTCTACCTTTATAGTAATTTAATGGCAGTCTCTACTACCAAAAGTTATTTGCTAATTCTCATTCTTCCAACGTTATAATGAAATGATCATTCCATCAACAATTTTATTAGCTCCACGTTAAATATTGATTGATGACACGTGTTTATTACATGACAAATAGGTATAAATTACATCAAATCTGTATATATCGCCTGATGTCACATGTGTCACGTGATGTTAGTTGCATTTAATGTTTGAGTTGATGGAAATATTTTTTTTTATTTAAATTATGCTGCATAATCATTTTATTATAAAAGAATTAATTAATCTATTAAAATAAATATTTAATATTTATTTATCACATGTAATATGTAATGAATAATTTTTTTTAATAATGTAATTATGTGACATGATTTGAATGAAAGTAATATATATTAACACGATATAATTGTTTCATACATCATTTTTCTTTAAATTCCTAGCTAATTAGTTTATAAGAAATTATTGAACTATATATCTAAGACTTTTTTTTTTTTTAATTCTTAATCTACTTTTAAAATTTAATCTTCAATTCCTATTTATTTATTTATTTTACATGAAAATACATTATGTGTCTAAACTTTCTTGAACTTGTAACATTTAAATGTCATACCAACATGCTTGTTAGCACTCAGTTGACAACCATACATCAACAGTTAAACGCAGAAATTTCCAAAATTTTTAATCTTAATATGCTTTTATCTAGGATAGGGACACCATTATAGAATTTCTTAAGATTACATGTATGCAGTTAGGCAGTCAAATTCACATATAAATCGAATGAATGTCGCCATTAACTTTGATTAATTATTGTTAATAATCTAACACCTATATATTATGATTGAATTCATTGGAACCTTATGCTTTTTTACCTTTTTTTTTTTTTTTTTTTTTTCTATTAGTTTTAACGATCAATTGCCCTGGAGACAAGCTAGATTTGCAAAAAAATTTCTTAATTTTAAGCCACGTATTTTTTCCTTGCTTGCCACCAGGCTGACCATTACTTTTTTCTTGTACCATTGTTTACCGGAAAACTGTTGCACCAAACTCTGTGAAAAGGACAATGATGATATTTATTAACGAAAAAAGTTGAAGAACATGCAAATGAAAATAAAAAAGTTTTTATTCTTTTTGGCTTTTATTAAAGCCTTTTTGACTTTGAATGCCTTACTTAAATGGGGCATGGAAACTGTGAGAAGGAGTGCTTTCTAAAAGGAGAATTATTAAAAATAAATTGTAAATTCTATAACTGGATAGAGAGCTTGAAACGTTCATAATTAGCATAATTTTTGATTGAGCTGCAAGGGTTTAAGAATTATGTCAGGTGCATTTTTTTTATAAATTTATTTATATCGGACCTAATAAATTTATGAATAATTGAAATTTATAATTTTTTAATGAATTCAAACTTAAACAACAAAAAATATTAAAAAACTTCGATAAAAAACAATAAAAAATCAAGACTCCAAACAAATCCGATGCATGAATACCTACATATATAATTTATTGGATATATCAAGGAAGGGAAATGGTATTTCTTCTAAGTAGTTAGGAGTTAGCAACTTCAAGAATACTATCATACAACTAAAACCATCAACAATATAATGATCCCAGGCCTCCTGCAAGAATTTTGCAAATTTTGGTTGTTGCTACAACTTTTAAACTAAAACCTCAGTGGTTGCTTGTTGCAGGTTTCACACCTTTGGTTGGCCAACAAACTTCCTGTTTGTATCAAATAACATTGACTTCATACTCTGAGGTTATTTTAGAATTTAGAAACAAAAAAAATTTTCTTGTGTTCTTCTTCTTCTGGCAATTTTGGGACCTTCATTAACTTTAAATAAAATAAAAATGAATGAAATCTAATTATATAGCATCAATGTAGTTTTTAAATTTCATTGATCAGAGGTTATCACATATTTTATTAACGTATATTTAAAAAATTAATAAATAATGAGATATGTGTGCTAATATTTCAATTTCGCCTGTGAAATTTAATGTATAGAATAATAGTGAAATATTAAAATCCTCAGATGGTGCTCTCACCATCCTAATTCCCAACAAATTACCCCTCATTCATGGGCCAAAATACCTAATTGATGAATAAATATCTTACTTGCTCCTTTCAAACCTGCATTGGGATTGGGATGAATTAGATCTTTTGATTTGTAGGTTTGGGCACATATTATGCCCACATTCTTATAACTCATTGTCCAACAACTTAAGCCTTAAACATGGCCCAAATCCTTAAACCCCCTAGTCCCTAGCCATCCAAAAACCCTCGTTCCGAAACTCCGGTGAAAGATCAATTGTCAGCAACCCGCAAGGCACAATCCAGTAAATTCCATTACCATTTCCGACCAAATGTTCAGGTTGTGGCGCGGACTGAAAACGGTGGTCCAAAGCTCTACCGCCTCGCCAGCAAACTGCTATCATTACCACACCATCCAAGCCATCCGTCGAGAATGCACCGGAGGCCGTATCTCGAGCCGTGATAGGGCCCAAGGTAGAATCCCCGCAGTGGTTTTCTCTCAAGGCTTGCTCGAGAAAAACCCAACCAACCGTTCCCCATCCAGGAAAGAACTTTTGACTACCGAAAGAAAGCAGATTCAAACCATTATCAAGTCCGTTCAACTCCCTTTCTTTTGTTCCACCACGTTCCAGCTTCAGATCCGGGCCGGTTCTGGGTCTTCGGTCTTTCTTGAATCCGGGAGAGTTTTACCCATCAAGGCAAGTTTTTTCTACTTTTTCTTTTGTTTATTAGCTTTTATTGTTACCCAAGTTCAAATTTTGTTTTTGGGTTGTTTTATAGATTCATAGGGATGACGAGAGTGGGAATATATTGAATTTGGTGTTTGTTTGGGCGGATGAAGGTACTGAGTTGAAGGTTGATGTGCCTGTTGTTCTCAAAGGAATAGCGGATTGCCCTGGTCTTAAGAAAGGTATAAAATTTACTGAAATTTCCCCATTTAATCTTTTTTTGGTTTGATTAATGTCATGCAAGATTTAAAGTTTACTATATGATGGGGAATTTGCTTGTTTATTGCTCCATTTAGATGAAAATCTTATATTTGTTAACTATCTGAAATTTTTGTCTGAAGAAAGTAATTAGGTATCTATTTTGGGGTTTTAGAAAGTTGAATAGAAAAATAGTAAGGCCATTGTGTTTTATGAAGTCTTGAGTCTTCCTTTGTGATTTTACTCATACAGTGCAATGCTCACATGGTACCTATTTCACATGATGCTTCTTGTTTCCTTGGGACAAAATAAATTGTTTTCTTACTAGGGATTTCTAGAAAAACTAGAAACATATAAGTGATGCTTTTGTTTCTATTATCATTTTGAAAATCTTTTGATGTTTGCATGTTCCCAAGCATCTTCTTGCATATATGTTATATGATGTTGGAAGTTCTGATGTTTATAAATCACATTTTTTAGTGATCTGTTAGATTAGACACTACAATTTGTCATTCAGTTTTGTGTCATCACATTTTGTAACCATGATGCATTATTGTTTTCTCCAAAAGTCTTTTTCATTCAGGTATCATTAGCTTTACCAATTCTTGGAGCTTTGCTCCTTGTTATCCACTTCCTTTCTTGCTCATACTAGCATCTTAATTGTCTTTCCTGGCTTTTCATATTGTTGGTTCCACTAAATGATGTAACCTTACTAGAGGTCTTGGTGCAAAAATAATGCACAAGGACCCGAACGGCATATGTCCTTTCCTTACCATTTTATCATTGCCTTTCTATAATCTTAACTTCTTTTCTTGTTAGGAACTTGCATGTAAAGAGATGAACAGCAATACTTACTGGTTTCCTCATTTTGATGCCAGCTTTCATGTTGGTTATGGAGAAACTGCTTGCTGACCTTAGAATCATTGCCTTTTTTGTTATTTAAATGTGACATTGCACATATATTTCTAGTATGATTTGCCCCTGCTTTATCTCATTGAAGCCTTTGACAATCAGAGCATACTTTGTCATTGGCAAACGTTATTTGGGGATACTTTAATGCCATAACAGGTGGCTACTTCAACAGGATATGAACTAGTCCATGAACGAGGTGGACGTGAGCAAAGTAGATATAGATGATAGAGTGTCCATGAATGATATTGAGTTTCATCCTTCCTTGAAGCTTCTAAGCAAGAATGAAAGCATGCCTCTATGTAAGATTGTGTCAACATATGTTAAAACTCCAGAGCCCATGAAAGTATAGCTAAAGACGCATAAGTCAAAATCAGTGATGCATAACTCACGAGATAAGAGGGTTTCAAGAACAATTCTGATATTTCTTGATTTGGTGCTTTGAGATTTCACAAGAGAGGAGGCATTTAAGATTTATGAGTGTATTCAAACAGTGCTGGTATTTTGTAGTCGTGAATGGAATCACTGGCATGATGTATCGTTGCCTTTAGCTGTTTCAAAGTGACATTAAGAGGAGGTGGTTCCTATGAAATGGTTAGTCTACTGATTGTAGAATATGCAGAATTCAAGTAGTTTTCTGCCACTGGTTACATAAATTATAGATTCAGACAACGAAAATTTTGTTCACTACATGATGATAACTTCGCTTCTAGGAATTGATTCTCAAAACCAACCAAATAGGTGTTTAATTTTATTTATGATTGATGAGAATAAGATTTTGTACAGCTTCGATTTTCATTCTAGAGTTTCCTCTAGTTAAAGAATATCCACTGGATATAATTTCTTCTCACAACCCATTCCCTCTTTTTTCTTGTGCCTGCGAGTAACCTGAAACGATGAAAATTTTATTCTCGACATATTTGTTTATGATTAGTTGAATTTGATGATAACTTATCTCTAGCGATGGAGGCTCAAAACGACCACTTTCATTCAAGATTTTCCATAGCTTAGCTTCTAGTCCTTTCTTGCATTAGCATTCTAAAGACATTTTCTCTGCCAACGATGTCGGCAGTCCATAGGTGTTTAGACCAAGATTTTATATTGCTTCCATCTTCGTTCTTAAAGACTTTCCTCTGCCAAAAATGTGTCGGCAGCTCAACATGTCTGGCTAGCTAGTTATAGAATAGCCACTGGATATAATAAATTCAAACAACCAATTCTTTCCTTCTTTCTATCTTGCATGCCGGTAAACTCAACCCTTTCAATTTTCGACTGGGGAGGTGGCGACCCGCTGAAGTTAGACCTGGTATTAGATCAAAATTTTAGAGTCAAGTATGACTATTTCTTGCAACATAGCAGTAGCAATGTTTTTGGAAGATGACACCCCCAACGGCCGGCCTCGTACCCAGATTAAAAATGGTCGTCGCTTTTTAGTAGACAAAAGGAGTTTTAATGATGTGATTCAAAACCAGAATCCTAAGCCTGAGTCAATAAAATAAAAAAAAATAATGGAAACGGTTTTCAAGTCTCCCATTTTGGCTGAAACTGTTTCCCAGTTGTCCTTTCTTTTTTTATTTTTTTTCACCTCGCAATACGAGGGCTGCGTAATGCATATGCATCATAGAGTCAAACTTGTAAGGAAGCTTTACAAAGGGTGAAGCGTTCCAAAGCCCCAAAGAGAAGCCCTGAGGCCCGTTCTTTTTCTTTTCTTTTCATGTAATTCCGTTGAATATTGGACCGTTAACCTGCGTAACGGCGCTCTGCCAAATAGGAGTGTAAATGATACATTAATATTCACAAGCTATTCGGGTTCGATTCGAAAAAAATTCGAATTCGATTCGATTATTATCGAGTCGAGTTCGAACTCGAGTAGCTCGACTTATCGATCGAGCCGAATTCGAATATTCTTATATCTGACTCGAGTAGCTCGCGAGTCTAATCGAGTTTTTATATTTAAATATATTTTTATTATTTTAATTAATAAAATATTTCGAGTCCGAATTCGAATTCGAGCATGAATAATCGAATTCTTGTCGAATATACGAATCGAGCTTATTTTTACATATTAATCGAGCTTAATCGAGCGAACTCGAGTAGCTCGAATTCGATCACGAATCGAACTCGAACTTGAAAAATAAAACTCGATCGAGCTCGAACCGAGTATCGAGTCTCGAATTGTGAGTCGAGCTCGAACTTGAGTTTCTCACTATTCGACTCGACTCGACTCGTTTACACCCCTACTGCCAAGTGGAGAGTGTGAATGGGTCTTGAAGCTGCTCACTGTTCTGTTGTTTTCTTCGACTGTCATTTTCTTCTTTTTTTTTTTTTTTTTTTTTTTTTTCAGTTAGGAAAAAGAAAATTTTAGATTGGATATATGTATTTTTATATAGAATGATGAAAATGGATGGAAAGTAAAAGAGAATGACCAAGTTCGGTTCATCCACTTCTTCCCTTTTTTTTTGTATAGTTATATAATAAAATAAAATAAAGATAGTGTTAATGGGTGCTTTTAAGTATTTTTTTAGGTTAATTAAATTAATATTTATAATAATATTATTTATTAAATAAATTAATTAATTATAATTTGAACGCGTAAACCATTAAACCTCCATTACTAATTGTTTTGCTTCCTACCTCTCAAAACAGATCGTTACCATAAATTGGTTAATTCAGTTTTACGTAAATTAAGTATCATTATTGACACGTCAGCTTTCGTACTATAAAACTCTATGGACAAAACCAAATCCTTTAACGAATCCGACAACCACTTCTTCTTATAAAAGAAAGAAAAGAAAAAAGAGTAGAAAAAAAGCCAGAGCCTGTAACGTCTTTAAGAACAAAAAGGTTTCTGTTGTAAACCGCGTTTTTTCAGACAAAACATAAAAAAATATTTTTTTTCTCCACATCCAAAATTCCAAACCAAAGCTCCTTTCCCGCCAATCCTTTGGAGCATCATCGTCCCTTGTTATCCCACATTTTCTTCCTTTTAATACCTAAATTTCGGATTTTTCTCTCCTTTTTTTTTCTTCAAATTTGATTTCTTCTTTTTAGAATGATTTCTAGCCATGCGTTGGTTTCAGAATATTTCGTTTTCTTCTTCTTCTTCTTCTTCCACCACCGCCGCCACGTCGGGAACTTCTAGGGGGAAACATTTTCAAGGTGATAATCATAATTATAATCAGCGTAATCACAATCAACGTCCCAATTCTCGTCACTTGGGGTTTCGCATTGCGGGACCTAGGCTGGCTAGGCAAAGGGAGCTGAGGCATCTCACCGACCAGGAAGTTCCGTTTTCGTCGTCGGCTCCTGCTCTGACGACAACATCGTCGGCGTTGGCGGTGCCATTGCCGCTTCCGCTTCCGCTTCCGGTTCCAGAAGGAGACGGGGAGCAACGGTTGCCATCGCCGAATGAGGTTGGACATGGTAAAGGTTTAGAGGAAAGAGATAGAGAAAAAGTAGATGGAACTCCTTCCAATTCGAGGTAATCTTTCTATTTCTTCTCAATTATTAGTTTCAATTAATATTTACTTAGAAAGTTCTTGCTCCTCCCTTAATTGATGCAGTTATTTTTTAATTTAATATACAATGAAGAAAAAGATGTTTCCTTATTACTCTTTAATTTCGAAATTATTAGCATGTCTTTAGTTTCTTTCTGTGAATCACTTAATATTTCATTTTATTTCTTTAATTTTATTTGGAAATTTTGCTGATTTTAGGAAATTTTAGAAACAAATTATGAGCTAAAGGATGACATATTCATAATTGCAATACTATTTGATTGATAATCTAAATGCCCAATCTGAAATTTTTAAGTTTATTCATGTAAGGGTTTGTTCTTAACATCTTGACCGCGCTGCTTCAAAAAAATGTGCCTTCTGTTTTGTATGGCAGTTTTAGGTTTTATATTTATAGTGATTGTAGATATTTCTGATAACTTGTTTTACTGGCTTTCCAAAGACTGAGAAGTTTTTAATTTCTCCTATTACAGTGTGTTTGCTTCTCGTGGCTCAAGGAAGACAGTGGAGCATGTGGACACAAGATCATCCTCTAGGGTGGTACATCAAGAAGTGAATAAAGGGGATAGTTCTTTGGATGAGTTTAGGGTGCATTTTCCTATTAGCAGTGCTCCTACGAGTCCATTCAGCAGTCCTGCAATTACCCCACACAGAAAGAGTACCGGTGACATGTTTCCACATTGCATGGTTCCTACAGGTAATCTAGTCTGGTCCGCACCAGAGATGCCAACATTAGACGTTCCAGGGCTTCGTCCGCCAGCATTCTATGATTTCAATGCATTTAGCACCGATAATACCCCACTTCACAGTCCACCAAATAGAAGTCCTCGTCGAAATAATAGAAGCCAAAGTGGATCTGCTTCACCAATACATTCATCGCGACCTGAAAGTAATGGCCCTATCTGTGTCCATCCATTACCTCTTCCTCCTGGAATGGCTTCACCATCAGCTTCTATTGCCCAAGTTTCAACTAAAGCAGAAGCATTGCCAATGAATTGTCAATGGCAAAAGGGCAAGCTTATTGGGCGTGGTACATTTGGAAGTGTTTATGTTGCCAGTAACAGGTATATGAATTCTATGTATCTTTGCTATGTATCTTTGCTGCCCCTTGCTGTTGCTATCTAAACACTAAAAGGGCTTCTTGTTTCTGACAGAGAAACTGGAGCTTTATGCGCAATGAAGGAAGTTGAGATATTTCCTGATGACCCAAAATCCGCAGAGTGTATAAAGCAACTAGAGCAGGTTTTGCTGCAGAAAATATTACATTTCTTCACTCTAGGAAGAGAAGAGTGAAAATTTAGTGATTACCTAATGCTGTTTGTTTCTTTTACAGACCTTCTAACTACTTCCTTTAATTGCAGGAGATCAAGGTTCTTAGCCAGCTTAAGCATCCAAATATAGTTCAGTATTATGGTAGTGAAATAGTAAGTAACACGCCAATTGCAAGTTAGGATTTCTCCCCGGCTTCTTGCTCCTCTTATTATCTTAAGAACTTCCATTAAGGAATACAAATCATGCATATGCAGGTTGAAGACAAGTTCTATATATATCTGGAGTATGTTCATCCCGGTTCAATTAATAAATATGTCCGTGATCACTGTGGTGCCATAACAGAATCTGTTGTTCGCAATTTTACTCGCCATATTCTTTCTGGGTTGGCTTACCTGCACAGCACAAAGACAATCCACAGGTACAAAGCACAGCCCTGATTTGTGGGTTAAATAAGGCTTGGAATGCACCCTAAAATATCCAATTAGAGTATAGAAGTGAATGACGTCTACTTTTAGTTCTAATTCAAATTTTAAGTACAGAAACACTAGTAGTTTGGGGAGAGGAAAGAACCTATTTTAGTATTCTTGCATGAACTAGTGGTGGCTTACTGTGCTGTTTACCTGTTCTATTTAGGGATATTAAAGGGGCTAATTTACTTGTTGATGCATCTGGAGTTGTCAAGCTCGCTGACTTTGGGATGTCCAAACATGTAAGTTTCATATCTTCCTTCTCTTTGGAGATGTGTTAGTCACAGATAAGGCATGTAAATTTGTAGCCATAGGATCTTTTATGAGTTGATGTCCATCCACCCTTCCCACAACAATAAATAATTTAAAGGAAAAGAAATTTGTTGCAATTCATCCTCACAACTGCAGTCCTTTCTGGGACATTTTAGTGAAGCATGAAAGAAGTGATGAATATAAATAGACATAAGCACACATGAAGTAAGAAGAGAAATTAAATATTTTTTGTTGAAATTATTGCTGTGCTTGCACAAAGTTGCAGCACCTGGTATGTGCTGGCAGAACTGAAACTGTGTAGTCTTCAAACGAGGAATCCTTTAACTCTTCATTTTCTTTTCTTTACAAGTATGGTATTATGTTCCTCTGGTCTAGGAGACATCAAATGCTGTATTAGTGAAGGTACTTGTTTACAAAGTTCTAAAGTCTTGATCAGGATCTTGGTTTGATATTGAAGCCAAAATAACAAGAATCAGAAGAAGGATGAGATATCATGTACTACGAAGAGTTAACTATTGCATTGATGAGCTGTGTGAAAATTAGAGTTGATTACCTTGGTGTAGCTGATGTTGTCATCATTATCATAATTTGCCTTTCATCACTTATTGTTCCTCCAAGTCATCTTACTTCAAGGTCCTTTGCTAGTTGTTATTTTTCTGATTCAGGTTGAATAATTTTTGGATCCATTTTGTTGCACAGCTTAGTGGACAAAGCGCTGATCTATCTTTGAAGGGAAGCCCATACTGGATGGCTCCAGAGGTACCATCTCGCAATTATATCAATACATAATATATGTATTTTTATATACTGACATCATTCATTTCCCTGCAGCTCATGCTAGCAGTGATGCAGAAAGAAAACAGTTCTGATCTTGCACTGGCCGTTGATATTTGGAGTTTGGGTTGCACAATCATCGAAATGTTCACTGGTAAAGCACCATGGAGTGAGTATGAAGGGGTAAACAGCTGATGTATCTTAATTCACTTTATTAATCAGCTAAGCATTGGAGAAAATTTTAAGCATGCCAACTTTCCATGGTTGCATGAGAAAGCACCAGACTATGAAAAAAAAATAAAAAATAAAAAGTTGGGTTCTATGTTTCTCATAAAGCTAATAATTATATATATTGTATGCCAATTAGATTGTGCTGAATGGCCTTACTTATCTACCAATCATTCAGAGTTAAGAGTGCCTTAATTGTGTGCATGACAAGGTCAAGTTTAATTGCTTGGTCTGGTTTGTTTTTAAACATGAGCCATTGCCAATTTCTCCACATTCTCTTTGTTAATGCAGGCTGCTGCTATGTTTAAAGTGATGAGGGATACCCCTCCCATACCTGAAACATTATCACCCGAGGGGAAGGATTTCCTGCATTGTTGTTTCCAAAGAAATCCTGCAGAGAGACCATCTGCAAGCATGTTACTAGAGCATCGATTTGTCAAAAGCTCACCACAGTCGGGTGCGTCATCAAGCACCTCATCAAGCACTTCATCCTTTAATGGGATAAAATCCATGGTAAAGAAGAATACTTGCTCTTTCGTTGCCACTGACATCTAATAGTTTATTTAATAATTAGTTTAATATATGTAGGATATGCCCTTTAGTCCAAGAGAGCGATCTGAATTTAAACTGGATCAACTGCCAGTGCAGCAAAGCTTGCGAAGTACAAAAACTGTGACCTCTGACAGGTAAGAGTAACGTTTTGCATTGCCTTCGAACTTATACTTTTTACAATTTGCATATCCTGACTGATGAATTCAATCAAGTTGGCAAACTCTTTTTTTTTCTTGACTGTCCACTCCAGCTTCATGCATTATTCTTTTTCTCCAGTAAGACAGCACAACGATCTCATTACAAGAGTTCCGACTTAACAGTGGCCCCTCGTTATTCTCCTCGTTCAACGCTTGAGGCTCTTCCTAGTTTTTCGCCTCCACGCTCAGGTCCAAATACTCATCATCCCAGTCCTTCTGGTACCATTAATAGATCTATCAACCAGGAGTCTAAGAAGAACCATATTTTAAAATAACATTGAAGAGAGGAAGAAACAATGTACAGCATTTTCAAGGTTTATCTGACAGGGCAGCTTCAAGCATTGCATTGGAGACCTTAAAAGATGCCGTCTGACTTGTGGCCGTGGAGAGCTGAAGTAAAAGCTCCCTACTTGATCTCTATCATCCATGCCCTCATTGAAGCTCCTTAAGCCTTATCATACTGGAAGCATATCCGGAAGGACATACATAAGCAGGTTTTTGTATACTATGGAATATTTTTTAGAGCTTCCGAAATTTAGAAAGCTCTTTTTTTTTTTTTTCATGTAAATCTTACCAAAGGTTACATGAAACCCGATATTTCACGAGTGGAATCAATTAGTTTGATTTTAGAAGGTTTAAGTTAGCCATATATCATTGTTTTTAGTTCCCACATCTTGGGCTTAGCTTTTTTGCAATACTTTTAAGTGATCCACGACAGCCATCAGGCCCCTAATTGCCCTTTTGAAGGAGAGAGCTAGAAAAGAAGGCAATCGCCATGATACCACCAAGCCATAGTTAAAACAGACAAGTCTGAACCAAATTCCAGTAGGCCTTATCGAAATTGACCGACACCAGATCGGCAGCATGTTGAGTTTTCATTTAACTGAGACCCCCGGCCTTGTCAAATTAGTAATCAGATATTATTACTAATTTTTTTATTTCCAAAGGAACACATTTTAGAGTTATCCTCATTTTTGGTATATCAATCAATTATAAGTGGCTTTTATTTGTTAAAGTTTAATATTCTCGTGAAAAGGTTTTTGACTTGAGAGTTCAATTATATGGTTAATTAACATTGCATAAAAATTAGACTTGGCATATCTACACACGTGAAATTATTGGGATATAATCAAATTCATTTATATTTTTATTAATATTTTAATTATTTTTTACTTTATAAAATAAAAATATTATTTTTGAATATATAAATAAATCAATATGATGTAATTTGATTCCATTGATTCAATTACAAATATTATTCGATTGGATTTTTTAAAACTCAAAATATTATACAATTAATCCTAATCAAACGGTTATCAATCCTACGTTCACGGTTCACCTCTAATAAAATCCAATGGCTAAATTCACCTGGGAATAAGTAGCAAAGTTGATAGGTTAATTTAACAGGAAGGCATAGTGTTTACTAATTTCTTTGTGTTATTTATGTCAGGTTGGTTTTCCAGCGTTGGATAGATTCAAGGGTTGAGATCTATGATTGAAGTCACCGTCACAGGTAGAGGACTTTCCCAGTCATCATTTAGTCAACTTAAAGCCTTTAAATGCATTTAATCAGAAATCAGTAAGAACAAAAGAAAATAAATCAATGGCATCACTTTCAAGCTTCTTTTTCAACTAAGCTACAGCAATCACGTGAACAAGTACAAGCACATTATCCCTCTCTCTTTAACTCTCAAAAACACATTACCAGACAAAACCATCTTCTCAAAAGAGTTTTAGCAGACAAGAAAAAAAACAAAAAAACAATGGAACCACTTGCAACACAATCCATTGAGACATCCACCAAGGATTTCCAAGTTTAAAGAGATGAACAAGACGAAGTTCTTGATGAATGTTTTGTGCCCTTTTTCTCTTTTTTTCCCGACGGCTTCGTTATATTCAGTTTTGTTTTATAGAGAGTCTTTTATTTAATTCTTTATTTTTTTGGTGTTGATGTTATTTGGGGTGCTGTTGTTCTTGCTGCTTGGCCTGCACGGTGGGCTGCTTTGTGTACTTATGCTGTTCCTAACTTTGTTAGAATAATTTATAGAGTTTGGCATGGAAAAAACCAGTTCCAGCCTTCTCTTTTGTTTCATACTGCTTTTAGATTTTTCTTTCTTTCTTTTGTGTGTAAAGAAATTTTCAAAAGAGTATTATATTAGGAATTAATAACTAGAACTTTGTTTCTTTCACTACTTTGTAAGTAAAATTACAGTGGCTTTTTGGAGTGCTTTTGGCACAATCTGATATTGCAAGCTCCAAATTGGTACGTGTAAAGCCACTAGATTTGGTGGCCATGAAACTGGAATGCTGAAGATGACTCTCGAGAACTAAACTATTCGATAGCACCAATGAGTTGGCTAGCTGACATTAGCCATTTTTCAGATTGAAAGGTATTTTTTAGAACTAAATGGAGCCCAGTTCATCTTGATTCCTGACTGCCTGTTCCCTCAACTAGGGGTTTATAGATTGAAGCCAATTGCCAAATTACTCAAACCTGGAAATCAACAGGTGTAAAATCTGACTGGAAACTTTGTTCTTTGTGGGGTTAGAGACCTTGATCATCTTTTATTCTTGTCCCGCATACAAGGCCAAGATTTCTCTCAGCAGGATGGTGTTTACATTTTACAGCCATCCACAAGGAAAATTAAAAAGGTTAATTATTGCAGCCAATGCATACCGAAATGAAGCTAGATTGTCGTGAATCAATGTATAGGCTAGTGGTACAAGTAGCCACAATTTTTTCTGTTCAGAATCCATGTTGGAATCTGCTTTATTCCAAGCTATAAAAAGAGAAAAAAAAAAAAAAAACAATATCGGCGTTAATGGGTTAATGTCAATGAGTATTGACATTATTTGAGACCAAAGTTCACTGCACCTTGGGATAAATTAAGGTTTTTTTTTTTTTTTTCTCAAAAAGAACACATCAAACATGACGTATCAGATCTGAGTGGAGAAACTAGTGCTGCGAAACTAGTGCTGATGGATTGGCCCTACAATTCACCGTCGAATTTTAAAAATTGGTGAATCTTTTTGCTTATACGATACAGGAATCCTAACAGACTTAAACAGTTTCTTCAGCCATGCTATCTACTCATGGTTCATGCTCATCGAATCTATAGACGTCATTGTCCCTATTTCAGAGAGTTGTAACTTTTTCCTCCCTTCTTTTTCCGTCGGAAAAGAGTAGTAACATCTTCATAGTTACTTGGAAAACTTTCGTAACAACATTAAGTCTGGAAGCCATTATCGTGTCTGCTCATAAACATCTAAAAATTTCTAAGTTAATGGTGGCAAACACAGTTTTATTCTTATAGAAATGACAAGAAAGAAAGAACTGCCTCGTCAATAGGGGAGGGAAATCATTTATCAGTTTTCACCATGAAGTAGCTCATGAAAATGAAAGCAATGATGGAGTAATTCCTTTTACCGATCGGAAATGTCAAAAAACAACAAAATTCTTCCACCCTAAAGCTATATGCTATTCCCATAAAGCCACTTTTTCTTGAATGTAGAGGCCAAGGCATTATTGACAAATGCTAGGTTGGCTCAATAGAAACCAGAGGAAGTAAAATTTGTGCCAAAGTAATTAATTCACTCATCACGCGCTAGCAAGATTTAAAGTTAATCTATACATTTTATGAAGTGAATACTGTGGATTTTACAAGAGTTCATTACAGTCCAGATCAATGAACAAGAATCTCCACTTGAGGCCCAAGGTTTTTCAGCACAAGTCAAGGCTTTCTCACAATTCCATTGTTCATTTTCCCTTTTCTTTTTTTTTTTTTTTTGCACAAGGTCAGAAAAGCTTGTCTTAACATAGCTTTGGTTTGTGGCACTTAAATAAGTAACTTGGACTACACTATGCACATGGAAATTTCTTACAGAGTATATGAGCTTCAAAGAAGATTTAAATGTTCTTAGCTTGAGAGGAAGGAACCCATATCAAAAGTGTATGACAAGAGGAAAAGGATAGATCAAGAATATCTGGATCAAATATCAATAGATAAAGAACTGACAGACTTAATTTCAGTTGCCTTAGAAAACAATTGGTTTAATATAACCCTCTTTCATCATTATCTCTCATTATTTTCCATTCTTATAATGGTTAACTGAGTCCTCTTGTCCCCCACTCCTTTAACTACTCCCACCTAGCTCCCAGTTACCCTGTATAGTTGTAGGTTTCCACTTGCACTGAACAATATTTATCCCTTGCTGGCTGCATGGCACTGGCTGATATGTAAATTGTCCATTGATAGATCTGTTTCACCAGTCCATTAAAATGCCTGTGACTGTGTCTTCCACTACTAGACTGCTGATATTACTTTCGGCATATAAATATGGTTTATAAGAAAAAGAACTATTGTTGCCTATGACTTATCTAAAGTATTTTCGCATGCCTTTGAATTTTAGCAGCCCAAATTTCTTCGCATGTAGACACTTAAGTCAAACTGAGTATAATTTACAGTCTTTCAATGAATCTTTTCTGGAGGAATACACCATCATGCCACTTAGTGCCATTTTCAATCTCCAATTGCTGACGAAAATACATGGGATTGTACCAAACCTATTGAAGGGGACGTCTATAGTGGCTCCCCACTATCTGGAGAAGTAACTTGATCAAAATTGGCAAACGTATTCTTCTTTGATTACTTGTGTATAAATGGCTTTTAGTTCCGCTGATTGGCTACAACACTAATCAGCATTTGATTACAGTTTTACTTTCAAAGAAATGGAACGCAAAACCTTCAAACTTCCCTTTGTTCACTTTTTTTACATCTTGTTCCTGAGTCACCTGGTGTTCTGTCAACTTGATTATAAATTCTATGATAGCACTTGTCCGAACCTCACAAAAATTGTTAGATATGGTGTTTGGTCAGCTATTGCTAATGATACAAGGATGGCAGCTTCTCTCTTGCGACTTCACTTCCATGATTGTTTTGTTAATGTAATGAAATTGTCCTTTATTTCTATATTCAGGTCTAGTTATTCTCTTAAGATTTCATTAAAGTAAATCCCTGCCCCTAACCATATGAACAAATTAAAGAAAGCAGATAAAAAGATGTCTAAAAGAAACAAACTTTAGCATTTTACATAAAACTTAGGACATTTATGGACATATCCCCAGTTTTAGCGCATAACTTGCTGCTTACTGCAAGATTTTTCCTTTTCATAACTCTTTGATTCTCTCCAGGGATGTGATGCATCTATCTTACTTGATGATATTGGCTCAACATTTGTGGGGGAAAAAAATGCAGCTCCTAATAAAAATTCAGTTAGAGGCTATGAGGTTATTGACAATATAAAGGCTAGTGTGGAGAAAGCTTGCCCATCAACCGTTTCTTGTACTGACATATTAACTCTTGCAGCAAGAGAAGCAGTTTATTTTGTAAGTAACATATATCATTCATTGCTTTTAAGTTTTAACCTGACTGTATATCGTTATCATCCTTCATGTATTCATGTCATTAATTCTGCTCTTAATCAATACTTCATCTCAGGCTGGGGGATCATATTGGATGGTACCCTTAGGTCGCCGAGATGGCCGAACAGCAAATAAGACTGCAGCTAATGAACTCCCATCACCTTTTGAGTCCTTAGATACCATCATTGTAAAATTCAATTCAAAGGGTCTTGATACAAAGGATGTGGTTGTGCTATCAGGCATGGTTCTTCCTAAATGATTTCTACTTCTATTGTACATCTGCCAGTGACAGAGAAACGAACATTCAATGCCATAAGCATCAATCTGATCATTTCTGCTTTAACATAAAAAGAAAAAAAAATATTTTTGCTTGCCATTGGCTTTATTCTGAATAATTAAGTTAGTTAGTAGGATTGCCCTAGATGTCATATGATTAACCAAATAGACTGTTGATATGCTAAATACAGGTGCTCACACTATTGGCTTTGCTCAATGTTTCACTTTCAAGCCGAGGCTCTTCAACTTTGGTGGCTCAGGCAAGCCTGATCCAGAACTCGATACATCATTTCTCAAAGGTCTTCAAAGCGTGTGTCCGGATCAAGTAGATTCGGACACCAATTTAGTTCCTTTAGATTCTGTTACCAGTAACAGATTTGACAACAGCTACTACAAAAATCTTGTGAACAGTTCGGGTCTTTTGCAGTCAGATCAAGTTCTGAGTACAGATAATAGAACTGCTTCAATGGTCCTTAACTACATCAAGTTCCCTTATCTGTTTTTCACAGATTTTGGAGCATCAATGGTGAAGATGGCCAACATTGGTGTGCTAACAGGACAAGATGGGGAGATAAGGAAGAATTGCAAAGTGGTCAACTAGTCACCCTGGAACTTGTTTTCTTTTAGGCAACAAAGGAAGTCTTTTATTTTCATCAAGTGAACAACTGCATGTAACCTTATGCTTTTGACATGTAAAAATGTAAGGTGTAGAAACTGATAAGTGCATTTCCTGATGCAATGTGGGCCCCTCTCAAGCTTTTGTCTCATCAGCTTGGTTCTAGCACATCAAATGCCAACTTGCATTGCTGCTATCAATGCCATATCCAATTCATTAACTTATTACCTCACAATTTTTAACATTTGGATATCAAATCCATCCATTTTACTGTTAAATCAAAGTCCTTCGACTCATTTTAAGTTTTGCCTTAGTTTGTCCTTCTGGTGATAAATTCATGCAACTATGAGAATGCAACAATTGACCACTGTTATTGGTTTTAATATTTGAAGGGGCAATTCATGCATTTTGTTTGGATATGTATTTTGGGTAAAAAGATACATCATTACATCCTCTTTGTGTCTTGTGACTTGTCCATTCACTTTACCGTTACCACCCCAATTTTTTGTGATTTAGGCCAAATGTTAGGAATAATGAATGCAATTATTTTCATTATTAGTATCTTAATTGTATAAATTTAATTTAAATTATTTATATTTTAAGGATTCATATAAGATTTATGAGACTCATGAGTAAGAATGATAATGTATCATGTCGGAATGAATTTTTAATCACTTTAAATTTGATTTGATTTTATATTTATAATACTTGAATCAAATTTGATTCGATTATTTTTTATTTTTTTAATATTTGAATATAACTTTGATTTGATATTGTATAAAATCGTATTCAATCTGACTCGATTTAAAATTAATAAAATATTATTTTTTAAAATATAAAATATTAATTTTTAATATAAATATAAAATATATATAAATATAAAATTAATTAATTAAAAATTAATTATATATATTTTGAATCAAATTGAATTTATTTACAACTTGACTCTACTTGAGTTCGATTTTATTTTTTAATTACTCAACCTGTAACTTGATTTAAAAAAAAAAAACTCTAAAAAATTAAATCAAATTGAAACCTATTAAAGAGACAGATTGAACTGACACCATCGTCCATTAGAACTTTAAATTTATAATAATTAATGTTTCATGATTATATATAGTTAATACAGTAAATTTTCAAAGGATAATTAATACGATAAAATATCCGGAAAATCAGCAGACAGGGGGCTCTGATACAGTACAATTGTACAACTGTACAATAAGCCATATCGTACGGCGCGAAAGCCAACCCAATCCTGGCTATTGGACAGCCCCAACATCAACATCTTTTCTCTCTCAGAGGACTAAGGCTGAGAAAGAATGTCCACCATTAATAGCCCCCACTCTAACCTCAAAATCCGTGTCATGTAACTCGCCAAGACAAAAATCTAACGGTTCCAAACCTCAAGCATTTCATACACCAAACCACACCCATTCACCCCTCCACAAGAAACAGCCAAAACGTTTAGTCACTGAACAGGCACCCAAAAAGCAGCCACCAGCAGCAGCAGCAGTGGTAGGGGTCAGCACTTCAGCAGCCAAAACAAACCCACACGGCAAACCAACAAACAAAGCCAGAAACGAAGACCCTTTTCTTTCTTTTCTTTTTTTAGTTCAAAATAAAAAGCGGGATTAGGGTCGTTTTAGGTTATTTTTATTTTTAGTTGAAGTAAACAGTTGACAGAGGGAGAGGGGGAAAAATGGTGAACCCAAGATGTTATTTGGACATAAGTATAGGAGGAGAACTAGAAGGAAGGATAGTCGTGGAGTTGTACAAGGATGTTGTGCCTAAAACTGCTGAAAATTTTAGGGCTTTGTGTACTGGTGAGAAAGGCATTGGACCTAAAACTGCTGCGTCCCTGCATTACAAGGTTCTACCTTTTGTCTTTCTTATAGAACTCTAATATTTATATGTAAATGCATGAAAGTATCTCTAGTTTAGCGTTTACTCTTTTTCTTTCTTCCTGGAACGTCAAAAAGTGTTAAATTTCTTTGGTTTGAGTTTAGTGAGTGGCAAAGTAAGGGGCTTTTGCTTTGAGTAAAGTAAAAGCCTTTTGTGTATGTGTGTGTTTCTTTTATGAAATTTAGCTGGCATTATGTATTAGATCTTAATAAATGAGTATTTGGTAGAGCTTACATGTTTTGTTTGCACATTTTGTATTATGTGATATAAAGTTAAGTTTTTTTTATTAAAGGAAAAAGATTGAATTTTTATGGGCTCTAACTTGGGGTCCCTTTTTTCAACCTGGAATTGTTGTAAAAGTGGTAAAATGATGCGATGGTAAGCAGCAACATAACTTTTTCTTTTTTTTCAATGTTAATGCATGTAGACTTAATTTGAAAATTTGAGAAAAAGGGAACTAAAGATGGTGTCGTTAGTTGGTTTCTTGCTTTCGAAATTTCACTTTGGTTGAATGATCATATGCGCTTACTTAACAAGCTTTTACTCCTTATATCTCCTTTCTTTCAGACAATGAGTTTTTCTACCCAACCTGCCTTTACTTTTGTTTAATCTTTTTCTTTAGGTCCTATGTTTATGGGAACACAGGCATTCTGAGGCACATCACCTTAGAATTTGATGCGCTTAAGAGATGTGACGTTTTTCTTTTAATTCTGCAATTAAGAAATTAATCATCTAGATATGATGACTATGCAATTCCGAATAGTTTTCTTTACTTTTGTAAGAAACAGTGGAATGCTTTTCATTTTTTAATTATAGTTATTAATTTGCAGGGTGTGCGCTTTCATCGCATTATCAGAGGTTTTATGATACAAGGTGGGGATATATCAGCTGGTGATGGAACTGGGGGAGAATCCATTTATGGCTTGAAATTTGAAGATGAAAATTTTGAGTTAAAACATGAAAGAAAAGGAATGTTATCAATGGCTAATACGGGGCCTAACACCAATGGGTCTCAATTCTTTATTACAACTACTCGAACATCTCATCTCGATGGAAAACATGTGGTTTTTGGGAAGGTTATAAAAGGAATGGGTATTGTTCGTTCTATCGAGCATGTTGCTACTGAAGATGGTGATTACCCCGCTCAAGAGGTTATAATTGCAGATTGTGGAGAAATTCCTGAGGGGGCAGATGATGGAATATCTAACTTTTTTAAGGATGGTGATATTTATCCTGATTGGCCGGCTGACCTTGACAAAAAACCAGATGAAATTTCTTGGTGGATGAAGGCAGTAGACTCTATCAAAGCTTTTGGAAATGAGCAATACAAGGTATTGGATGTAATTATATGGTTTTCTGTGGTATAATTTGCTCCTTTCTTTCCCTTTTCGTAGATTACACTTGGTACATTCTCTATTGTGAATGAATACGCCTTTTACTCTCTTTGAATTATGAATGCTTAATGATGGCACATTTTCTACTATACATTTGATTATCAACTTCTTTTGTTTGGAAATTTGATTTACTGCCACAATGCTACTCACTAAATATTCCTAGTTGTTCCCTCTTACAGAAACAAGACTATAAGATTGCTCTTAGAAAATATTGGAAGGCTTTGCGCTACTTGGATGTCTGCTGGGAGCAGGAGGGCATTGATGAAGGTGCATAATTTAGTTTGTTTCTTTGATGATCATGATATTATTGCCATGAATCCTTTAGTTTTTCTGATGACTTTTTTTCTTCCTTTTTAATTTGTCATCGCACAGCAAAGAGCTCTGCATTACGAAAGACGAAGTCTCAGATATTTACAAATAGTTCTGTAAGATTTTGAGTTCCTTGAAAATGTCAGATCATCAATAAGTCATAGGTTTAGGCATCCAGCATGGCATTCCAATCTTCTTTCTCATTTTCTAGATTCTCATTCATTGAATCTGTTCTGCAATGGTTGGTTTGGAAGCATGTTATGGTAGGGAGTTCCTCTACTTTAGTATCTGTTATTGCTTATAATACTGTTTTCCGGTTATTGATGTTCATTTCCTATCATATAACTGCTCTCTGTGTTGTCTGCCTTAGGCCTGCAAGTTGAAACTAGGTGATCTAAAAGGAGCATTATTGGACACAGACTTTGCGATTCGTGATGGAGAAGATAATGTGAAAGCTTTCTTTCGCCAAGGCCAGGTCAGTGGTTACTCAAAGCCAAGTTTATTGATTCCTTGACACTTTTTACTTTGCCTGGGCTTTTTTATTGTCCATTTCTTTTTCCCGGTTGTGTTTCTAAGTTTGTAGCTGTGCTTGTTCTGGGTTGATTAGTATTGGAGCTTTTTCAAGCATAACAATCGTGTAGTTTACTTATTTTGGTAATTGGTTTGAGGTAGGAACCTTGCATGTTTATAACAAAATACACAGACCAATTCAGAATTGTTTGGTATGTGTTTTTGCCAATTAATTGTCATTTCTTATTCTTAGGCTGGAAGCACCTGTATGCTCTCTGTTTGTACTGAAATGCAAATTGTTCCAAATATTAAATGATTAATTGCAATTTTACCTGGGATGCTTTTTACTTTAAGTGCTTTTGTTTTCTTTGATGTCAGGCATATATGGCACTTAATGACATAGATGCTGCAGTTGAGAGCTTTAAAAAGGCATTGGACTTAGAGCCAAATGATGGTCAGTACAATCTTGTCTCTTGTGAAATAGCTGCAGTAGTTTAACGCACGGCACAAGTAATCAGCTGCTAAACCCCTTCTATGCTCACTCACTCCCTCTTCCCTTCTCTTCCTCCCCTTTACGGTTTTTAGGTTTGAAGGGCTTGCTAGGTTTTCATATTTGATTAATGTAAATTTCATGGTTGTGTCACCTGGTAAAATTGCATGCTATAGTAACTTGAGTAGAGACTTGATGTTAAATCATCTTTTCCATTTATTAGTTTTTGCTATTATCCTTAATGCTAGTTCATGAAAATCATTCAATTATATACTTTAAATAGAACTAGGGGATGACCTTCATCTTATATTATTTTTCTGCTCCTCAGGTGGAATAAAGAAAGAACTTGCAGCTGCAAGGAAGAAGGTCGATCATCATCATCATCTATTCTTTCTTGAATATGTTGAATATTTATTGCTCCTCTCCATGCACTTCCCTTTGGTTTCATCTGTGGACGTAATTGAATTTGTAAAACTACTGCAGATTGCTGATAGAAGAGACCAGGAGAAAAAGGCATACTCTAGAATGTTTCAGTAGATCTATAGCCAAAATTATGGTACTGCAACAACCTTTACATTTGCTTTCTGATTATATAAGTTTCTCTGTCTACTAAACCGTGATTTGATGATTTGTAGGCCGCCTTTTGTCTAAAAGGATCAATTTTGGGTTTTTTTTTTGCATATATTGTCATTATCCAGTCATTGGAGTTCTTCTGACTATAGTCTGGCTGACTTTTGGAAAAATCAGGTTTGAATTTTTGGTTTTCTTTCTGCCATGGAATCTTGCATACATGTCTATTGTTTTTATCTTAAGGAGTTTATTCTGTTGCGCAGGCTTTAGTGTATGCTAAAACCTGCCGCCAGGTCTCTTTTCAGGAAATACTCAAACTGGATGAATTAAATTCAGAACTGTCTTTTATTTCTTTTTGTTTCTGGTCAAGCAGATGTGACATTTTATTCCCTGCAGAAACTGTTTTTTTTTTTTTTTTGCTTACATGTCTGTTTGAATTTATTTGAAAAATCTTTTTATGCGCACCGGACAAGTTTTTATTTGAGATAGGATGGATACTTTCTGCTTCATTTTAAGCTCTTTGTTCTTCGTGCTTTTAGATTTGCTCATCCATTGTGGCTCCCCTTGCTTGCACTGAGCAATTTCCTTGGCTTGAGCTTTTGGGAATGCAAAGCCTTTGTTTAGGACTTCGTCTACTCCTTGCTTAGTCAAGTCTTGATCTCCTGCCACCTCTTGTTTTGTTTCTTCATCTACGACTATCTTGTTCTCTCCCTTTCTGGTCCTTGATCTGTTGTCTGGATGTGTTTCTTTTAATCTTTTTAAAGCCAAGTTTCGCCCTGCCTCTGCTGAAACCTTCTGTTCCATGGCTACAGAAACCCGCCAATTTGCCAATGATGTTTCTTCTTTAACTCTTCTCTTTAGGGTATAGTAGTATTCCTGAGTTAGTTGTACTGGGGAATTATCTGATTCTGGATGATCGGTGTAGCGAAGTGCTTCTGCTGCTGATGCTCCAAAAGCTTCTGATTCTATTTTCACGGCTCTAAGGGTGAGTTGCAATGTCCGGAGAGTCTGCCTCCTTAGCCGCAAGGTTTGTTTTAGTTTTGATCTTGCTCTGTGCTCTTCATCCTTGTCTGCCTTCAACTGCTCCAACTCTTCTTGTGCTTGTTCCAGGGACCGGTTCATTTCATTGACCATCTTTATGGCCTTGAGTTCTTCCTCCCTTTTGAATCTAATATCCATGACAATGGTCTTAAGTTGTGATTCAAGCTCCAAAATTACATTATTAGACATAGAATTTTGATTTTGAGCAGCGTCGAGGTCTGATTTTAGTCTTTCAAGCTCATCAATGAGGGGTTTGGAGTCTAACCATGATTCTGTAGCATTATCCTTGGCTCTCTTTAGCTCTTCCTTTGTTTTCCTCAATTCTGCCACCTTGGCCTCCAAATTGTTGCTGCTTCCTCTGTCTGATTCCCTTGCTTTGTCCAAGTAGTTCTCTGTTCTTTCACCATCAAACGACTCCATCGCTGTTATTATTGATCAAGGAAAGAGATTTCTCCTGTTGGGAATTCTCCGAAATTTTTGCATTATGAGTCTGATTTATTGTTACTCGTAATCGGGTAAGCCTTAAAATTTTATTTTATCGGCAATGCTGTCGTTTTCCAAATCAAATATTCATATGAATAAAGTCATGTGAAACTACTAGGAATGCCTTGTTTTAACCGGCTTCTTGTTCTTGTTATGTCCTTGCTGTCTGTTGGTTTTACATGGATGGTAAACGGCATAAGAGATAGATTCTTGTAATACTTGTATGATTAATGTCAAGTCTATTACTTTATGTCCATGTTGCAAATGATTTGAGAATTAAGACAAGACTAAACAGACAAGTAAACTAAGCATTTTATCGAGGAAAATTTTAATTTTCTTACAAGCCTAGCCGAAAATTTCGCTGTTCATGGAGCTTCATGGCAAATTTGGCAAGGGCTTCTTCATTTGTATGCCCTCCCTCAGCTTCCTTTAACTGGCCAGTCTCGAAATTCAGCTTCAGCTTTGAAGCTCGTTTCTTTAACAGCTTGTTTCCAATCTCCACAAGTTTTTGCAAATTCTCCTCGGTCGCAACGTCAGCTGTTGATGCGTCACCCGTCAATGTGTCATCCTGTTTAATCACCGGCCAAAATATGAAACACCTTCAATTCGAAATATTTTTTACATTTAAAGCAATACTTATTCTTTTTATTTAAAAACTTTCATCTCTAAATTTAATACAAGAGGAAAATAACTTAACTACTTCTAGAAGTTAGAATAAATTTGGGTAATTTAAAGACAATTTCTATTGGAAGATGCTGACATTTGTGGCGTTTGTCGATTAAATGCTGGACTTTTGGTTTTGGTGATAAAATTCAAATCTTATTAATCTCAAGTCGTGATTTTAAGCATCCAATTAGGTCCCTAAATTATACCTGAATGCGGAGATAATTTTCATTGCACCTACTGCATTGGAAGAGAGCAGACACATGAAAATCAACCATATCAGAACTTGCGTGCCAACAAGAATCAAGAAGTGGTGTATTTCCATTACGGAAGATCCAATCTGACATGCTCCAATTATTGGCTGTAACCGCATCATACTTTGGTGCATCCATGTGGGCAGTACCAGTGCCAAGTGATAGCACAAGCATCCTCTTGCTGTCCATAGGTTCAATATCAATAAAATCCGCATTTTTCTTCATTATCTCCATCCAAACATGGCTAATAGCTATTAGAGTCTACATATATTTCAGATTAAATGGAGGTTAATTATCAAAAAATATTTTAGCTAATGACAAACTATAAGCTAGCTGGTTATGTTCTCACAGGGTTGTTTGCAGCAACTGCACCATCGATGAGATTAAATGTGTGGATTTTCTCATTGGAATCCTTAGTTTCAAAGTAATATGCTGGTAGAAGAGTAGGAGCAGCAGAGGTACCGATGCAGGCATCTGCTAGCCTAGCATTTTTCCAAGCATTTACTTTCGCCTAAAAAAATAACTTCAATTTAGTAAAAATAATAACAACAAATGGTAGTAATCAATAGTAATAATAATTCGTACATCATTTGTTGAGAAGATCACTGGCTGAAGGAGCTTGATGTCGAAAGTTGGTATAACCACATCAGTCAATGTCTGCTTTATAGTAATGTCTCCTAGTAACTGGTTTATCAATGACCTTAGGTATATTCCATCGTACTTTGGTCCAGCCGTCGATGGATTATTGCTGCTAACTTATAACACTTTTGAAGTCATAAATTCACAAATAAAGATGGGTTTGAAGAATAGATGGAATATCTCTCGTTCCATAATTACAAGTATACCTGTCCTGAGGGAATATCTTGGGGGAGTGCTCCAAATAGAATTTGTTGATGTCCTTTGCCTCGTACATGGGTTGTCGTCTGTTTTCCTTGCTCGGGGCTGTAAGCATCGTGGCTACCAACCCACCAGTGCTTGTTCCTGCAACGATGTCGAAATAATCTGTAATTCTTGCATTTGGTCCATCCAGCTCCTAATAAATCAATCAACCACAGATATAAATCATGCCGAACCAAAATTTTAACAGATAATGATGCTAAAAGGGCAAAATTTGCTGTTTGATATTGAGTTGAGGTATATACATATACACCTGAAGCTTGGATTCAAGAAAGGCAAGAAGAGTGCCTGGAATTATGCCTCTAATGCCACCTCCATCAATGCTCAGCACAGTTACCATCTTTCTTTTCGCACAACTGTTTCGCATATTGATTCAGAAGAGCTAGCTGCTTGAAATTTCACAGTTATTTGTTGATAACGAAATTAACATAAACTATATATGAAGCATATACTACACCGACGATCAAAAATAAAAAATGTATACATATTTATAGCAAAAACTGGGAGAATAGAGTGAGGACCATGGATTAATTTATTTATCATGTTACTTTTTAACCATTTTGTAGTTGGTTGATTGCTACCTACTTCACTGTAGCACTTTAATTGCCGCCTCTTTGCTTTAAGTTATTAATTTAATGCTTTGTTTGTATTGTAAAGGTAAAGTGAAAGCAGAGAGTTGTTATGAGTGTATCCATCCACTAACTACACTTCTTTTGGATAATATAAAAACCACGTCCTACTGTCTGCTATTAGGGATTGAACTCTGATCAGAACTAAGAGTTTAGTATTAACCATTGGCTACTTTCTGCTTAATTTAAAACCAATGGTTCTTGCTGGTGGTCATGATCTAGATGTGTTGTAAACCAATAGTATCTAAATTTTATTTTATTTCTTCTTTTCATAGATGATTAATATATGTTATTTGGTTTTCAGCAATATGTTCTTTCAGCCACTGTTAGTAAGAGTTCATGCAAAAGAGTTCATCCATTCAATGATCAAGCGACCTTATTATTTGACAAATAAAATATATATATAATAATAATAATAAGAAAATGCTTCAAAGCTTTACAGGAGGAAGCATCACACTAAAATCTCAATTCATCATGCAAGCCAAAGCATTCGTTCTTCGTGTAGCTTCTTAGCAAAATTGGTAAGAGCTTCTTCATTGGTAGGCTCTCCTTCAGCTTTTTCATTGCGCTCTCCTTCAGCTTCTTCAAACTTGCCAGTTACCAAATTCACTCTTGAGACTCGCTGTGTCCCAATTTCAATGAACTTTTTCAGATTCACCTCAGTTGCAAAGTCCACCGTTGATGCATCACCCGTCAATGTGTCATCCTGGAACCACAAAATGTGGAAATACTAGTAAATTATATGAGCGTGACACCTAATGGTTATTAGTATATTTGATGTAAGGACGATAATTTTATCCATAGCAATGGAGAATCTGACTTTTTATTCAAATGAAAATGGGGATAGGTATTATATTGTGGGTATAAGAACGATGATGTATATGATATTAAATTTTTATTGGTTACAAAGATGAGAATGAGTAATATAACACTCATCATGTATCTATACCTTACATATATATTTATATATATTTAGTAAATATATTTTTTATTAAATAATATAAAATTTTATTTTACATTAATTAGAATTAATATATTTTTATTGAAAATATTATGTTAATATATATTTATAAAAAATTTTCTAAATATACATGATAAAAATAAAAAAGCTAAAAAATTAATTTTGGTTTTTAATTTTTTAAATGCTGTGAATAGGGGGATTATTCATATCCATTAGATACCTACGAGAATAGAAATAAATTTAAAATATTCGTTAGATATGGATATAAAAATGAGTATAATATAAAAATTTAGAGATAAAGATGAGGAATGCTTTACCCTCAAATACCCCACCCATTGATATTTGATGTACCGGCAATGAATATATTTTATACGTTATCAATGAATTGAATGATGACAATTCATTAATAATATGAATAAGATAATGCCACTTTATTAATTAGTAAGTTTTTAAAAATATATTAATTTTTTGTATATTTATTTTAAAAATAGATATTTATTCATTAATAAGATAAAATTAACTAATTCACAAATAGTGTATAAAATTTATACATTAAAAGTGCATTATAAACACTCCATATAATCCAAAGATTTTAGTTAGAGTTAAATTTTTATTTTATTTATTTTGGTTGTTTAAAAAGTCGAGTCACAAATTACAAAAGAAAAGAATTGGGATTGAAAAACATTGAAATCTTTAAAGATGTGTTTTATTTGAATTTTTTAGATTGAAACCAAGTTAAAAAGAAATTAAGGTAATTGTTTTCAAACTCCTATTGAAGTTAGGATTAAAATGCCTATATAAAGAACCTAAATTAAGGTGAGAAGAATGGGTCAAAAAGGTAGAAAAGAAGAAAATTTTTTGTGATGATTTTTAATTTTTGAAAATTTTTGAAATTGAGTGCCGGTTAGATTTTAGGTTTTCATTTGGAGAAATATTAGATTTTGGAGAAAGATTAGATTAGGTTAGATTTGGAGAAATAGATATCAATACCAAGTTTAAAGAATTGTTCTAGGAATTTTTTTTTTTTTTTGAGTATTTTGAGTTTTTGGTTAAATTTTTCAATGACCCAATTAAGTCCAACTAATTTGAATTTTTTTCTTTTTCTGTGCTTGTTTTATTTTCTATTTATTTATTTATATATATTTTTTAGATTATACTGTATTTGATTGTCATATTTTATTATTATAAATTTAATCATAAAAATTATCATGTATTTATATATATTATTTTTCATAAAATATTTAATAAATCCGATAATAAAATTTTTTCGGGGAAACCAGTGTATTATTTGAATGTTGTTGAAGTAAGGAATACTTTTGAGAGATTGACCAAGATGTTGGAGAAAACTGAAAATATTTTCAATATTTAAATATCTAAATTAATAAAATAATAAATAATAAGAATAAATTAGGGCAATTGAATTTAAGTTATATCATGTATTTATATGTGCTTTTTCATAAAATATTTAATAAATATGATGATGGAACTTTTTTAACAAAATGAACATATTATTTGAATACTTTTAAGATGATAAATACTTGGTTCGATGGAAAAAATCTAAAAATATTTTCACTAGTTAAAAATCTAAATTAATAAAATAATAAATAATAAAAATAAATTAGGACAATTGAATTAAGACTAAGAAGATAATTCTAAAATTAATTGATACCAATTTGTTGGTATCATAAGAATGTTATAATTTTTGTAATATGTAATTGAACTCTGAAATCTAATTTTGTTTTAAAAAATTAGAACTTAATTTTTTAAGAATTCTTAATCAAGTTTATGATAATTTAAAAGGAAATAAATTTACTTAGATAACCACAAGTCTATGGGTAACGATTTCATATATTATGCCTAATAAATTAATTCTAAGATATACACGATATGGCATGCATACATATACATTATAACATGCATCAAATATAAATTTTATTTGTAATATTAACATTCAACATTCCATATTTCAATTACTTTTGGTGGAAACCTGAATGCGGTGATAATTTTCCTTGGAATGAAGGGATTGGAGCAGAGTAGAGGTAACAGTCAACCATATCAGAGCTTGCATCCCAAAATACATCAAGCAAAGGAGTTTTCCCAGTGTCATAGAGTCAGTCGATCATGCCCCCATTTGGAGGCATAGATGGCATTGTATTTCTCTTCATGCTTGGCTTCACCGGTACCTAGTGAGAGTGTCAGGATCGAGACTTAAGCTTCGAATTCGTGCGATTTCAGGATCTGAGTATCTACTCATTTGAGTTTCGGATCAGCCTTACTTCCACGATTTATACCATTGTAAGGTATTGTCCGTTCTGACCCCTGATCTCAAGATTTTGTCCTACAAAAAACGTCTCACAAGAAAGAGATTGTGTGAATCCTTTTATACCTCAGTGATCCTCTTTTTATGTTCGATGTGAGATTCAGGATTCCTCCTTAAGTCCATGACATTTTCTCCCACTCAATCTCGTGGTGCCATCGTCACGGAGGCCGATCATTCTGTCTAACTCCTCGAGGTGCTTGGCATAGATCGAACGGTATAGGACTGGCTCTGATACCACTTGTCACAAATCGAAATTTAAGCTCCGAACACGCGCGGCTCTAAGACATCGAATGAATGGATGCCCGATCTCAAAATCGCATAAATTCGAAACTTAAATCTCAACCCGTAACAATAGCACTAACATCTTCATGCTGTCCATCGCCTCGATGTCCACAAACTCAGTATCATGCTTCAATATCCCCCTGGAAATGTGATTTGCAGCAAATTCATGTAAAGAGTGCCGGGAATAATGCCTTTAACGCCACCTCCATCAACACTGAGCACTGTTACCATCTTCCCTTTCGCAGAAGTACCAGCCCAATGGCTCTTCCATTGTTGAACCACAGGATATAACCGTGAGCTCACCTTTCTTAACTGTAGTCATATTTTCTTGATTTGCTTTGGTTAATTATAATCTAAATTAATTATGATTAATTTTCATTCACATGTCACACGTATGATAATTGTTTAATTATTGGCTAATATGTCAAATTTATATCCTCACTATCATTCTATTAGGGACCCTTTTTTTTCTTTTTGAATCTATATGTTTGCTTGATTTCGTCTAGATAACGATGGTTAGGTAGTGTCAAATTATTGGGTAATTAGCAGTTAATTTTGGTTTAAAGCCTTTGTCCGAGAATCGAGGCAAAATGTTAAATAATGAGTTTAGCTGGTATCGATCAACTCCACGCATGAATCACATCAACATAAAATTCGCTATTTGGATGTACTTTTTATGTTTCGTTTGAATGAGCTGAGCGGTGGGACATTCAAAGGGCCCTTAGAGAGAGAGAAAAAAAAAAAGAATTTTACGATAATAATCTTATAATCCAAACATAAAAGCTTAAATTTAATTAGCTGTCTTAAATTCATATCTCACATTTTGATTTTTGGCATGCTAAGAAAATACTGTGATCCACTAATTCAACAAAATTTTTAAAAAAAAAATTAAAACTTTTTAAATTTTGATAGTTGGGTCTTAAAGAGATTATTTTATGCAGGGCAGTTGCAACTGTTTCAATCAGTTCTTTTCAGTGCAAAATTACTGGTGTCTTATGTTCATCCTGGAAAAGTCGTCGTAAAAAAAAAAAAAAAAACAAATGTTAGAGGGGCTAAAATTAGCTGGGAAGTTAGATGCAAATCCAAGTAACCAAGGCCTGGAACATTGCTTGCATATTTTGGCATGTTTGGGCTCTTTCTTGGAACTATGATTCAATTTGGGTGGCCTGAATTTATGTTTATCCTTTGAGAAGAACCACCTACTGGCAAGCAAAGGTGACAACTTTTGTAGTTGGGGTTGGAGGAAAATCTTGAAACTATGAGATATTACCCAAAATCTGTTAACCCTAAACCCCTAAACTGTTAATTACTGTTTAACGGTTATTACAACCTGAGATGAGCTCTTAAGCACGCTTTCTCTTTGCAAGATGAGCGCAGTGCGCACCCAGTGCCATTTATCAGAAGGTCTGCGTTCTCCATGTTTCTCGTCAGGGTCAGTTAAGATTCCAGTTTGCGTGAAATTTTCTGCAACTATAAAACCTGTCTACCTTTATATTAATACTGTACCCAAACAAAGCTTTGCCTTAACTCGTCACTTAACTCAGCTTGTCAAACCTCCCCACTCGCTATCAATGTCTGACAACTCTAGGTAAAATTTACTAAATTTCTTTACTAAAACTCATATTGGAGACTAAAATAAAATATTTTTATGTCAAATTTTAGCTGCATGAATGGAGCTTATGCTGAGATTGTGGTGGTGCGACATGGAGAAACGGAGTGGAATGCTGATGCAAGAATTCAGGTTTGAATTTCATGAGAAAGTTTAAATTTTTTTAAATATTTAATAACTTTTTTATATTTTGGGATTTGGTTAGATACAAAAATGCCAAAAATCGAAATTGTTTTCTGGAAACAATCGGATATTTAGGGATAAGGCATGCGCGGGAGCTTCTATGATCTATTTATTAATTTGTTTGGCTTACTGATTTTAATCATGTTTTAGTAAGTTTTAGTTTTGTTATTGATAAATAATAATACTTAATTTAATGTTGAAAGATTATAAATATGAAGTAAATGCTTATGCTTTATGGAATCTAATTTTTGGTGATTTCAGAATTGGGTAAAGTAATAGAGGAGAAAGTTTTGGTAGGTTTATGTAGGAAAAAAAGGAACTTGGTGTTTATGGGCTTCATAGAAGCCTAAACCACTTATATTTGACATGGATAGTTGAAATTTGTAATTTGCATTTAGAACTTAAACAACAGGAATTGTTTATTATCAGTATAATGAATTCATATAAGAGAATGCAAGACGATGAACACGGCAGATATCAGTTTCACTCTTATCATTGTATTGCTGATCATAGTTTGCTATATCGGGTACGGTTTTGGACATATCAATTTCCACAAAAAAGATATAATCACGCTGCTGATTCATTTTGATTCAGCTCTAATTATACATATTGGTCCTTCTATTTTCATATTTCAATTGCATTTGTGCCTATCCTTCCTTTTGTTTTATGGATGCCGTGGCTAATGTATCAGTGTATTTTGATTAGTTTATCTTTTATATCTTTTGATAGGGTCATCTGGATGTGGATCTAAATGAAGCTGGGAAACAGCAAGCAGCTTCAGTATGTTATTACTTGTATTTTTTGCTGATTTGGCCTTTCTTAACTGATGTTGATGCCTTAAACTCATTCTTTGTCCTCTGCTTCTCACTTATAGTTAGCTGATCGACTATCAAAGGAGCCTAAAATATCTGCTGTATATTCATCTGATTTAAAGCGAGCTCTTGTGACAGCTGAGACGATTGCAGCTAGGTGCGGTGGGTTACAGGTATGAATCACAAAGCAAGGCTGTTGGAGATGGATGTGTTAAAAAATGTGTTTTCCAGTTGTTAAGGCAGTTGCTTTTAGAATTCTATGTTTCTAGCTTGGAAGAGTTTGGCCTTATATGTGGAGTTTTTAAGTTTTCTTTTTTGTTCGATGCGAAGCAGGTTATAACAGATGCAGACCTAAGGGAGAGAAATTTAGGGGATCTTCAAGGCCTCATATTACATGAAGCAGCCAAACTTAGTCCCAAAGCTTACAAGGCCTTTTTATCGCACAGGACAGATCAAGATATACCAGTAAGTTGGGATTGGTTTGAACTCGGAAGACAGCATTGGGGAATCTTGAAAGAAATTGGTCTCTGGCTTTGTTAAAAATAGCACATATTCTCTATTTAAATCGATAAATATATTGGCTAGACAATTGCTGGCTTTGGCGTTTATAATATTGCATATATTTGCTGAATTATGTTCAAATAATCAATCATTTGAAGCACGGTTCTCTAGCATTTTAAGTTTCAAGTTAACATCCCAATTTATGGTAAAAAATGAAGGCCCAAATTTTGGATTACATACTAAAGTTGAAATGGACCAAATTGAGTCTAGCTTTTTCTTGATTTTGCAACTATCATCCTCTCTCTAACTGGAAGGAAATGGTTGTCATCACTAGATACCCTTATTTTTGGGCCATGTCACTAGCTAGTTTTCTTAATCCCAATCCACTAGTCTGTCCAAGCATATCTAGTTCTGATGTTGTAGTACTGATTGCACCTCACTATATATTAATATATTTACTGATGGTTTGTTGATCTGTGCCAGTTATTATCTAGTTGTAAGCCTTTTTTGTTTAAACCATCTTCAGGCACTAGCTCTTGTTATAAAAAAAAAAAATTTGTGCAATAACTGGATAAGTGTTTTTACAGTAAAAAAAAAAAATGAGATGTCTACTAGGACATTAAACAGGGTTTTCAAATTATTATACATTTAAATGCTTACTCTGATTCACTCCATATTCAGGGTGGTGGAGAAAGTCTTGACCAGCTCTATCATCGCTGCACATCTTCATTGCAAAGAATTGGTAGGAAGCATAAAGGTATGCTGTATCATTTGTAAAAGGGGAACTCTTGAATCATAACCAAGATGTAAATGATTGGTTTATGGACAGTTGTTTAATTTTTAGCACTTATTCAAACTTCAGTAATTCAACGTAATAACGAGGTGTTGGTGCTGTAAATATCTGGACCATATAAGTGTTTCAACAACTTTATTTGCCTTCCCATTGCCTACTGTTAGCATCACTAGGCTAATATATTTCTGGTTTAAATATCTGAATCGTTGCTTATCGCTGTGATAGGAGAGCGAGTTGTTGTGGTTTCCCATGGTGGTGTCATTAGATCACTATACAAGCGAGCTTGCCCAGATGGAAAGCCTGGAGGGAAGGTGCTTAATACATCTGTAAACATATTTCACTTGTCTGATGAGGATTGGACTATAAAAACCTGGGGTGACGTTAGTCATCTCGAACAAACAGGATATCTGAAGTCGGGTTTTGGGGGTGACAAAACATCTGGTTAGTTTGTAGTTTTACTTGATATTCCTTTCTTTGGCACTTTGTAATTGATTATTCAGGCAACGGCACTAGAATATTCAAGGTAAGGTAGTTAGGCTAATTTTTCGAGCTGCTTTCACCTGGGATTATCTCTTCTAAACTTGATTCTGGAACAGCTCTTATATTCATTTACGAGGCAACTTTTCTTTTAATTACCATTTTAAAAGTGTTACAAAATGGACTAAAGGACTGTTTTCATGAATTTGCAAGTTTGTTAACAGAATTCCATTTCGTTCCCTGAGGCTAATTTTCAAGAATGGTAAATGAATTATAGATTAGAAATCCGCCAACTAAAGACGTTATTCGGTAGAATGTTCATCCACGAGAAAACTTGGCTGTTTGTACTTACCACCAACACCAAGTGACTAAACTTTTCAACTAGATCCATGTACAAACCTAGTTCTTGGTAAATCACTTTAGAAATAAAAAGAATGAAAATTTTCATGTGATTAATGTTTGATTTTTGGATTTGATTGTAATTTGATGCTAAATTAAGAGCTCCATGGGTCAAGCTTACACTGAAATTATCGTGGTGGAAGAATTCAAGTTTCTACTTCTTGAGAAAATTTAGTTTTTTTCTTTGGTTAATTTAATTTCATTTTAAAAGGGACATATGGATGTTGAACTAAATGTAGTTGGGAGACAAGATGCAAATTTAGTATGTTTAGTAATAATTTCTTTCTCCTTTGATGACCTTTCTCTAATTTCTTCTGATTTGAAGCGAGCTCTTGAAAAAGTTGAGACAACTGCTGCAAGCTGTGTCAAGTTTGAGTTATGAATGCTTTTCACTGTTGAATTTTGTCAAATTGGACTTCATAAAGTTGGAACAGATGAAGTTCATCAGTGTGATTGTCCCATGTTAGAAAGAAGTGGGCCTTATTGGTGTTGATCATAGTTTGCATAAATGAGACACTTGCTTTCACAACTACTTCATCAAGTTGTTGGCATTTATTTGCGCATTAAACATGCCCCTTCTAGAAATGAAAGAAATGCAGGCGTTGAGCATTGTTGTGTATATTGATGTTACAAGTACCATAGTGCACCATGAGAAAGAAACTCTTTTCGTTAGTAGCTAGTTATGATCAATAATAACAGTTTGCTATCAGGCTTTTTGTTAGTCTCGGAGCACGTCATTCAATTAATGGTTAGGTAATATGTCACAGCAATTTGCTGGCCATAAGTCTTTTTTCTTCAATCATATTTTGGTATTCCATGGTCGCGCTGTTCTTCTGGCATTCAGGAAGCATTTAGAAATTAGTTATGATGGTGTTGATGATGATTAGATAACTAACTACTGATTTACTCGCTCTGATTTTTACTATGTATGCAGGGAGGTGGAGAAAGCTTAGACCAACTGTGCTACATCTTCATTACAAAAAAAATGATCAGAAACCCGCAGGTAATTATTATGTGATTTGTGAAAAGAAACTTGAACTCTCAAAATGTAACCAAGTTCTAGAACATATTACTTTCACTTTTACCTGTTTTACTTACTTGCAAGTTCCATTTACCATTAAACCTTCTGGTGTGACTTCGTTTGCCTAGAAAATTTCTACTTTTACCAGACACTGCCTATGTTTCTGGTTTAAATTTTCTGAATTAATTGTTGCTTATTTTCACTCTACGAGGGGGGACTTGCTCAAAGAGGTTTAGGGGGAGTATACTCAATACCTCTGGAAACATATATGTCACTTATCTGGTGATGATGTTTGGACCATAAAAACCTTTGTGATATCAATCATCTCAACTAAACAGGACATTCCAAGTCTGGTCTAGGGGGTAATAAAACATCTAGTTAGTTCTCACTTGAATACTTGATGAGCTTAGCATTTTTCCATCAGGTTATTCAAGTCGAATAAATTAGCAATGTCGCCCAACTGATTAGAAATGAGATGCTTCGCCTAATTCAGGCACTCTCTAAGGATTCTAGAGTATGTTCAACGTAATCGTAAATGTATACGTACAAGGTTTGAAAACTTTGAGACACGGACTCCTCATCGGCAACATATGCCAACCCTGGATGGAAACAACTAGTCTTACCTTACATAAAAGTTTGTACTAAAACTTATGCATAACTGACCAAAAAGTGCAAACCATGCAAACACCAGATAGGGAAACCAATCTGCTGTACTGTATTTTCTAGTAGTTGCAAGCAGTTTTGCACCAGGCTAAATTCTTTTGGAAGGCTTTGTGTTTAATAGAAGCTTTTGCTTTCAAAATTCATAGGACAGTAGGTGCAAGGGAACTCTCAATATCATTGCATTGTTTTAAACACACCAACTCTCTCTCTATGGACCATACATTTTCAAACCTTTATCAAGTACATGAGACCTATAATTTTAAACACCGATGATGCAACGTAAAAAAAAAAAACGAAAGTTAAACAGTTTAATAAAAACTATACATAAATTTGATACAAATATAAAAAATATTTCGTGTTTAATACGAAATAAACATGATAAAAGTGTGCGAAAGTTTTAATTAATATATATATATATATATATAATGGTATACAAGAAAACAAATGTGGAGTTCTCCACTCAAAATCTTGCTCCAGGCAAGGTAAGCAAGTGCATCATTTGTGGGACTTGAAGCACATAAAAATATTGCAGATGTGGTTACCTATACGAGTGGGACAACTTTACTTTTGTTTCTAGTGATTGTTCAAGTTCGTTAAGCTTTCTCTTCCTTTTTTTTTTTTTTTTTTGTGAGAATTTTTGACCTGAAATGCACTCTATGATCCTTTTGACCCAAAAAAATGTTACGAAATAGTATTCAATTATTCCCCTCCATCATCATTTTTTTAAGTGCTCAAATTCAATGTTCAACATTCTCTGATTTTTTTTTATAAAGAAATAATATTATTTCAAGAATGAGTATCTTCACCTTGACAGACAAGTTAATTTCAAAATATAAATTAAATAATTAAAATTATTTTATGATATATAATATAAGCTCGTAAAACTTTTAATTGATTAGAAAACTTTATAAGATAAAAAAAATATAAGAATTCAAAACTTAACTCGATTGTTTTTTAAATTAATTTTTTAAAAATAACATCTAATAAATTAGTTAAAATTTTAATATTTATAATTTTTTTTATTAAAAAATATGTTTAATTTAAATATATATCGGTCCCAAAATTTAATTAATTGATTATTGTCAAATTTTGTTCAAATCCAAATCATAAGAATTTAAATATATATTAAGAAATATAATACTTTAGTTTTTTCTTTTTCTTATAATACTATATTATTTAATTTCCCTATGGAGAAAAAAAGGGAAGGTGAAGGGTGGGAACCATTATAAAGGAGTAGCTAACACCTAACCTACCTTTATTTTGGCGCCAATTTTGCAAGAAAAATGCATGGCTCACCCCCCATGAATTAGAATCATGATCACAATAATTCATTAGCTTGTACAAAAGTCAAAGGGCCATTGCACCTAGTTTGGCAAAACCTTGTAATCATGTTGGATGAAACTTTTTTGTAACCAAATATTTGGACAATATCAAACAAATTTCTCAAGGTCAACGACTGCCATCAGGAAGATGCCGTTCCTTTGCAACAATTTGCAAGCCGTACGCATTCCATGCATTTTCCATGGCTTTGATATTAATTATAATTAAAACCCACTTGCCCTTGATAAATTAAAATACAACTTAGTTCTCAAGTTTTCATATATCTGGCCAATGTCTTAAATATAAATAATCTTGAATTAAATTAAATAATCATTTAAAATTTTATTATCATATTATAATTAATTAAAATTTTAAATATCTATAAATTTGTGATGGTTGTTAATCAAAATTTAAGAATCAATTTGATGAAAATAAATAATTAAAGGTTCAATTAATTATAATAAAATTTAAATGATTATTTAATTTTAATTCATGAATTAAATTTGTAATAACTAATAATTACATATTTAATTGATAAAATATTAAAATTTTAAATTCAATGAAATGATTTATCATTTATTTTATTGTTTTATCATCTTTGCATGAAGTTCGTATTTAAAATTTTCAAAATTCAATACTAATGTTTTGCAATTCGTGCAATTTTATCAAATTATTTGTCTAATATTATAGCATAGAACTAATTATAAATGACTTAATTATTCCTAGATTCTCAACTAAGCACTAGACTTTTACCATAAAATGATTCATTGAGATGGTGAAGAAAATGAAGAACAAAACATGGAGGATCAAATTTTAGTGGGGGAGCTGAATAATGAATTTATTATGATCATAGCATTGGAGTGGGCAACGAAATAATGAATAATAGTTTTGTTTGAAATTGAAGAATTAATATGATTATTGGAAGAGTTTAAAAACAAAGGCAAGGAAATAAAAATTGGTCTCATTGGTGGGGGGACCAATTAAATCAAAGGAACAAAGGAGTTCCCCTTCGACCCACCTTTTACTTGATCTATTTTAATCCAAAAATGGGCCAATGCTGGCCGAAAGGAATTTGTCAGGCAGCATAAAATTTAATATAAAGTTCCTAAAATGTTTATTAAAAATATTTAATAAAAATTTAATTAATACATTAATAAAATTTAATGAGAATATTAATAATATATAAGAAATTACAAAAATTATCATTCATAATTTAAATTTAATTAGTATTTATTCAATGTAAAAATATTATCAAAATTTTTAATAAAAAATTTACACATTTGACATGTGTAATAAAATTTTTTAATTTATGAATTGAAATTTTTAATTTTACTTGATCAATTTTGATAAAAAATTTTATAAAACACACCTTTAAAAAAACTTTCACTAAATTTTTTCCTTTTAAATGAAACGTAAGCATAACTAGTCGGACATTGAAATATTCAATATTTATTTGTATAATTAATAAAACTTTGCATCTTTGGCAAAGGAGTTTGCATCAACGATGATTTCATGGAATTACCAAAGAAGATTACATAGGAAATGAGTTCATGGGTGGCATTTTACCAAAAGGAAATTGCATAGCAAATGAGTTCATGGAGAATTTTGGATAGAATTTTTCTGCTTTTATATTTGCTTTTAATGCTCTAAATTGTCAAGAAATGGAGCTTCCACGCAATCACGCGTTAATAAGGTTGAAAAGATCTTAAAAATCTAAATCAAACATTAAAAAATTATGCCCAAAACCTGAAATCAACTTGGTCAACATCAAATATTAGTCAATTTCCTTCCCAGTTTGTATTTTTCATGCTTCGGGCATGTAATTACTTGGAATTGTTATTTGAGTATGAAATTTGGTTTACATGTAATAATTAACATATAAATTATTAATACCCACAAATGGCAGTAGAATTGGCTCCAAAATAAAATATAAAATATATATTTAAAAAAATTAAAGATAAATAAATTATTGAATTTTTTAAATCAAAATAAAATATATCATATCTGATAATTTGAGATAAAAATTTATAAAATATATTATATTTAACAGTTTAAAATAAATAATTATAAATTATGCATTTAAAATAATTATTCGATAAGATTTAAATTTAAAATTTTTTCGTTAAAAAAATTAAATTTTAATTAATTAAATCAATAATTTGTTGATAAATATATATTAATATTGGTGCCTTACACTGGAGGGATACAGTTTGAATTTGACCAGATCCTGGCTTTATTTTGCATAGCCGGCGGGCAATCTGCATGCCCTATTGGGATTGCCTTTGCCTGCACCATTTCAATGCCAGCTTTCTTTTCTTAGCTCCAACTTTTTCTCTTTATTTATTAATTCGTTTGACCATATTTAGTGAGTCACATGGTTTAATTATATATGTAGCCTAACTCTTTTTCTTCTAGCCCAATATATACGTATTTATAGCTGACTTTTTTTTTCCCTAATACTTTTATTCCTTTAGCAGCTTTACTTGATTTGTTCAATTTTATTGACAAATTCAACTTTTCTTTTAGCTGAGAAAGGAGAATTCAAACTCTGCTATTTGAGTAAAAGATTGAATTTTAATTATTAAAATTAAAAATTTAATATTGCATTAATAAATCACATTTAGTAACTACAAACACGAAAAACATGTGAAGGGTAATTCAATTTCAACGAGAAATTACTCAAATTCATATGATATTGACTTGTTTGATTTACTCTAATTCAAATATCAAGTTACTGAGTGAGATAACTAGAAACATGAGGTATCAAGGATTGATAGAAAAAAGGAGGCAAACGAGAAGGAAAAGTTCCACAGATAGTTTGATGGTAATTGGAAAATTTGAAACTCACCCATTTATTAACTACTCCCACTTTCATGTGAATTGGACCCACTCCTTTGTTAAAATTATTATTTCTCGTTTATCTTTGAGCTTGACAAAATTGGATCCTAAGTTAAAATGTGGATTAATATTTGCTTATAACTTAAAGATAATATTTGTTATCATCTTCAAGATTACTGTGATGATTTAATCACTATAGTAATAAGATGATTAAGGTGATATGATCACTAGAGATTTTAAATTATAATATTTTGTGTAATATTATAAATCATTATATTTGATATTGTATAAAAAAATAAAATGTACAAAATATCTAAAATAATATTAAAAAAATTTAAATATTTATTGAATCAATAATTTATAAAATAGCTAAATATTATTTTATAGAAAACTAAAAAATATAAATCAATTTTGACTAAAATAATTTATAAAAATATTAAATAAATTCATTATATTTTTAATTAATAAATATTTATTCAATTGCAATAAAAAACATTTTTTAGAATAAGTTATTAGAACAATTAATTTTTGAAAATTTTTATGCTCTACTTTTTAAAGCAATTTTATTAAATTTTTTGCAAAATAAATTACTCAAAAATAATATTAGATATTACTTTCTTACGATAATAAAATTTTTTAATCATTTAGGTTTAGAATCAATTTTTCATCAAAACAATAATCTTATTATCCAAGTAATTTAAAATTATTACTATATAAAATATTTAAATTATTATCAAATGAGATGATAAAATTATCGAATAGTGATCATTGTGACTTTGAGACTGATCATCTCATATTACTCTAAGGAAAAAATATTAAAATCTCATCAAAATAATAAATGAGAAAAAAAAGAGAGAGAAGTTTTTTAATATATACAAGAAAAAAGAAAACCATCTTAATCAATTATCGGAGAATCAA